CTGGGATACCTGTATTAGTCAAACAAAAGTGAAAGGAATAGTTTGTCTTAAACAAGAAAGCATGCAGGGTATGGATGCAGCAATATACTCAACGCCATGCACTACATAAGGAGAATGAAGTTGCACACAAGATTCTCCTTAATACAGAAGTAGCTGCCTAATTAGGAAGATTGAAACAAAATGTGAGATTAAGCATTGTCATCCTGTTAACCAACAGATTACAGCACCATGAAATCTGATCCTGTCGTCTTGATTGCATTAATTTAACCATACCAATCAACCAAAGTCACGGGCAATCATGAAGCCATCAAACAGTATTTTCCAAAAAGCTGGATAAAACAATTAAATATAAAGGCCACCTCAAGTAAACATAGTCATTCGTAAGGAATATAGGGTTGTCTTGCACAAATGCATTTTCTGGGGATGCTGGATACTTTAATGCAGGATTTTGTATAAATACCCTAATCTGCAGTTCTCCAGGGTTTGGGGGGGCGGGGGGGGTGGTGTTGTTTGATTTTTTTTGTTGTTTTGGTGTTGGTTTTTTTTTTGTGGGGGCTTGTTGGTTTTGTTTGCTTGTTTTTTAAACATTCAGTGTATTTTTATCAGTCAAGTATGTTTCTGCATGCAATACATCTATCTAACTGAAAAAAAAACCACCAAAAACTAACAACTCAGAACTTAAGAAGAGTCAGTTTTCCCCCATTAAAATTTCTTGATTCTTCACTAGGGCTTCCCGACATTTGATACAATAAGTAGAAGCATCTGTCCACCTCATCTGTACACAAGTATGGCATATGAGGTCCAATACACTGCTTGTAAAGAAATGCTGTTTTCACCACAGTAAACAGAGACAAGAGTTCCTCCAGATGAGCTTATCTTTTTTCCCCCGAGAGCAGAAGCCTAGCAAAGCTAGCCAACAAAACTAGATACGTGGGTTGTATAAACAGTCCCTTAGATTCAATTTCTTTTAGCTCATGCTCAAAAAAATCCAGCTCTGAGGTGATGTGTGTAAGCAGATACCAGTTAGCCTTTTGTAAGATAGTTTAAAGCCTGTGTAGCCTACAGTCTCTACTTTTTAGTATGTAAAAATTAAAGTTTATATTCACCTTGAGTAAAAGCAACTTTATCACACCATAGAGCAAAGTGATAGCTAGTCTCTTCTCCCTCTCCTTGTTCTACAAGCATTTAGCAAATCCCCAAAAGACTGATGCCTCCAACTCAAATTAAAGAGAAAAATAATTTCATGGAAACTGAACTTCAAGATGAAGCAGAGTTTGTGTGATGTGAGAACAGAAACGTATTCAAGTAGTCTGTTTTCTCAATCAAAGAAAAAAATAGACATTATTGTAATTTTGAATATGCACACTGAGCTCTCAATCTAAATCACATCTTTATGAATGTTGCTTAATAATATGAAATACAAGTATTTGCCTCAGCTTCTTTAAATAAACCAGCTAACGAAAAGCAGTTCATCCTGATGTGTTACTATGATAAAAGTAGCAACAGAAAGCACCAGTGTTTGTCACTTTGACAGCCTACAGCTCTGATAAGGTCACTTGTCCCGAATTCACAGCATGTATATATAGATTGTGAACTCACTACTGTTTGCACAATAGCCTAAGTTAATCTGCAGCCGTTCAGTGTTTTAATAGGTTAACCCTTTTTTATTACTATTTTAAATAGTTTGCATGATAAAAGTATGACCATTTGTAGCAGTGGAACAAGAAATTTCCCTCTTTTATCACCGATCTGCACAGATAGGAAAACAAAGTTTCCAGCTATTTCCAGATTCAGATCTAACACTCCATCCCAGGCAGCAGGGTAGTTTTACTTACTTTACAATGCTTAGTTAAAACCACTTCCCAGTACCTTTTTTTCCTCAAAACTGACAGGATCAGCTTTTGGTTTGCATCAAGTGAATCACTTCTCCCTTTGTTGCACCGTGGTGGCATATCTGCAGCTCTATTACTTTTCCAGATCTCATATCAAAAGGAGTGTATGAAATACAGCTCTTCATCAGTCTCCTGACTGAAGATCAAATTTCAGTTGCATAATAAACAAGTGACTCTGCATGACATAATGGGGCCTTCATCCATGATACAGCTAAACTGAAATTGCAAAAAAATTAGATACATCATTACTCAATTGTCTGGGCATAGAGGAAATGTGTCTCAGAAAATAAGGAAACTGTAAAAATAATCCAAAAATCAATGGACAAAGTTTTCAAAAGACTTAAAAGTCAAAATAATATCTTTTTTTAACCCTTAAGGTGATTTCTAGTTAACATATGGAATTTTTATAGTAATAGCTCCTGTCCTGTGCAGAAAGTCAGGCTACATGAGGGGATCACAACAGTCCATTTTGGATGGGCTATAAATGAAATATTAGTAATATGAAAATACAGTTTTATGCAGCATTTAAAGGCTTCTGAAGCAGAAAAAAATAACTGCTTTCAGCCTGGAAGGTTTTATTAAAAGGTCCCAGCTTCGATATCAATGGCTGTTTTAACTCCTCAATTTACACCTGTAACCACAGAAAGTTTATATATGTAGTGCTTAAGTTTCAGAACAGCTAAGAATTTGATGCTTATATCACCTTCAAATTTTTAGGTTCTTGAAACTCCTTAATAAGCAACTACAGTAATATATGCCATAAGTCTATATGAATCGACAAACCATTTTAATACACACATAAACAAAATATAGCATGCTAACAATTTTAAGGTCACCTGGCTGCTTAAATTTCTATGTACTCTTAGATCTAACATCGCTTTAGTCCATCATTCACTTGTTTCCTAAAAAGAATTAGTAAAAATGTATGTATTTTTTGTTCCTACTGGTTCTACGTTAAAAACAACATGCAGCCCAACGTTATTCTTCTCTTCATTTGTAATAGCTACCTATTGCTGCAGCCATTTAGCAATCCAGTTATGAAACAGCTGCTATTAGTGAAAAAAGTCAAACTGGCAGCATTCACAGACCACTGGGAATGCAGAGCATTTTAAGATGTTTCTACAACTCACAGTCAACACCCTCTGATTCATTTCACTCACTTTTTCAAGACCCGACCTTAAAGCCTCCAATCAGGATTATACTTCTAAAGGCTCAGTATCAGAAAGTCTGGCTTTTCTCTGGATTTTCCCATGGAGAACTTCCTGTTCCTCTAGACCAATCCACCCTTCTTAAAACATTTTTTTCCAGTCTTTTATTGCTGCTGAATCTGATTCAAAAGGGGCCCATCTGCTCCAGCTACATCATCAGGAGAGTTCTGCACTTTCACACAGCTGCTGAGGTTTCTGTCCCCATGCAGAAGCTGGAATTGTTTAACCCACCATCCCCTTTGCACAGAAATGATGTAAAGGAACTGATGGATCAAAAAAAACTTTTGCATGATCATCTCTATATTGACTGTATTTCTACAATGTAAACTCTTCTTTTCTCACATTTTGCAGTCTTAATATGTTCCTTAATAAAATGCACCATAAAACTTTTCCAATGGAAAGAAAAAAAAAATCCTATCAAATACACTAATCTTACTATAAATTCCATGAAGCAGTTCAAAAAGCCTGGAGGGGTGATTGTTTCCATTAAATTCTATCAACTGCTGGAGTAGTTTTCTTCAGGCCTATTAACATTTCCTTAGAATTTAAGTGACTTAACCTCCATCAAATTCTGCAAAGACTGAAAAGCAACTAACAGCAAGTATGCTTTAGAAGAACACACATAACATAAACCAAATTGAAAGTCACGTTTAACAGTACATGTGCCATTGTTAGCTTGTAACATGCTCTGAAAATGGATTATCTCCAACAACTTAGATGCATCAACTTGACCTGAATGCAAGTAGACTGTATATTCCAAAACACCAATGACCACCTGACTCCTCCTACTCATTCAAAGCTATTTTCAGGGCATAGAAACTTACAAAACTCTGTTGCATCTCTGCTTTCCCGGAGAATCTTGCCCAGGTAAAGTTTAAAAATAAACTTAGTTTTGAGCCATAGAAACCCTTGCAGGAAGTTTTATTTGGTTATGAACACTTTTTTATATATAAATGAGCTTAAGTAAAATAAGATCAATTTGAACTGAGTAAAAGAATGCACACAGTTCTGGACTGTTCTAATTAAGATAAAATTAAGTTTAATATTAAATTAAGTTTAAATAGCACAACTTTCTACCTGCATATGAACACTAGCCATGGGAATCAGCTGAACTTGCCAACAGTTCCTAAATTCAATTTCTGAGAAGCTGGCAAGGTGTTAACAGCAGAAGTTATTGTACTACGGAATGTGTTTTTTCTACCCATTCACAGTTGATTTGGGGGGCAAGTTGTGTCTCATCTCTTCAGGAAGCATTAAGGAGAAGTCTTTTCTTTGCACACAGTACTTCTTTACAGTATCTGTGGAGGGCAAAAGTGAAGAATTTATTTTTATTGATAACAAATACGAAATTTTCGCACAGTCACAGAATTGAATTACAACTGAATAGTAGTCATCAGTTTCCTTACCAAATATAATGCATGCATTTCAGTTCATTTGATCGTGGCAAACCCCAAAAATTAATCATTTAGTAATAAGGAAACTAAAGAAAATATGTTATTGATGTATTTTAACAGAATAAAAATAAAGCTTAGGTGAGTAGACATCAAATTCATATTTTACCTATAAATAATTCACACAAACTAATACAAACAAAATTAATGAAAAACACTTGAAATCAAGTTTGGGCAATTTGTTTGTTTGAGAATCAGGCTCGTTAAACATTGATATACTGAACACTGTGATGGCACTGATGCGAAACCACGTTCTGTAATCTCACAAATTAAACAACAAGTCTCCATCAAGTTCAGGGTGTAAAAATAATTTATTAACTTTCACTCATAAAAAATCAGCTACTATTCTTGATTTACTTTTTTTAAACAGCAGCAGTCAAAAAGGTGACAATTGAAAAGTGATCAATAAAAAATAAGGCAAGCAGAGTGTAAATTAGTTTTTTAAAAATCAGAAGCAAGGGTAGCAGAAAAAAAATAAACAGGAACTTTAAAACATTGCAATCACCAAGTTACCTCTATGCTATCTCATCACTTTAGCCAAGGAAGTATTGTTAAAGCAGTATGCAAGTAAACTTTTCTTTCAAAACTATCAAGAGTTAATTAAGATTTAAAGGCATTCCTTTGAGGGGAAGGTGAAATATGCCATAGTGATGGTAATTTTATATTCTATTGTTTTAAGTTTGTAAAACATCATAGAACACTGAAAGCAAAAGCTTGCAAGACAAGCCTTGACTCTACTGTTTTTGATCAGTGATCCGCTGTAAGCAGAGTTTCATGTAGGAATTTTTATTGCGTATTTCTATCACTGCGTCTCTGACAAGCTCAATGAACATCTGAGGCCAGAGCTTCTGCAACGACTCATTTTTCATATTGATGTCAGCTGCTTCTTTCACTAAGTTCTCGACGTATGTCTGGCAAAACGTTTTTCTTTCCTTGATTTCCTGCATGAGAGAACCATTACACATTGTATAAGACAAAGGAAGAAAAGGTTAAACAAGAGCAAACTCGAAAAACAACCACAAAAATTTAATGAATTAAATAACATAGCCATTACCAGGCAAAGAGGCCATTGCACACTTTTTCCCGTGAGTTTTAAGTTGCATGGCCACAGAATCTTATTCTATTCATAATATCCATAATATTCATACTATATTCATTCATTAATTTTTCTGAAATCCACTTTCAAGTAGTCGTGTGAATATCTTTTAACAGCATTATGATTTTTGTTGCCATCTGACACAGCAGTGAAAATTTACAGAAATTAAGCACCAGACTACTTTTCTTCCTTCCCTCCCTTCCCTTTCCAGCTTTTCATGATTACAGTACAACAGTTGGAAAGTATACTTCTATCTACCTGCCCTAACAAGAACCAAGTGTATTGTCACACAAAAATATGCCAGTGTGCATCCTTTCCACAGACTCCCTGATGGACTCTGGCAAGTGCATAGTTCCTAACATGTACTACATTAGATACTAAAGTAACCTGAACCTTTAAAAAAATAATTAAAAAAAACCCAAACCAACCATTGCACTTGGTGCAGCTACTAGCTCTGCATTTTCATCACTCAAACTGTATTAATCCTTGTTTCTGCAGAGTTTCTATAAAGTGCCATAATAAGCTTTGAACAATAAGTTATATTGGTGCTACACATCTAACTCATTTGATTTATAACACTTAAAATGTTAGGTCATGCTTCAGACCATCATAACAGAAGTTTTCTTAAATGAGTGATAAAGCAGAGAAAATACTTTCCAGCTGTTTCACCTAAAAAAACCAAATTATTATTCAATGACTTAGACTGTCATCTTTAGCAATAAACTTATTCAATCACATTTATTACATTAGTTTACTGGTGATGGGGATGTGGAACCAGTCTTTTTTGCCTATTTTGCTCTTCTCTCGTGACATCCTGTAATATCTGCTGCCACATACATAATGCTATAACTAAGGACAAGGTGTGAATTGCTGCACTGGGAAGAGAAAACAATGCATATATTTCACGAATGGCACAAAAGCCAAGCTTATTTTATTATAATGCTTGTTCTATGGTAAAGGACAAGAAGAATGTCTCACTGTCTTACTCTATGCCATTAAAAGTTTTAAGAGCTGCTATCACAGCTTTTGAAACTAAAATGTTCTTTTAATCTCTTCACACATGCAGTCACTCTCTTTTTTGTGCTACTGATCTGAGATAACAAAACCACAATGCAGTAAGTGAATTCAGTGTTCAGTGAACTTGATTTAATTTCTTGCACTAGAGGATTTATGTATTTCCACATAATCAAAAAGAAAATAATGGGACAAATGTGGGAAGCAGAGTGCATACATCTAGAACTCATCATGATTGCTCAGAAAAGAAATTGTGGCTGAAAGAAGCATGTTCTCCCTGGGAATTTCCCTTTGCCCAAGCAAAAGAGTTAGCAGAAGAGAAACACAAACTAAAACAAGCGTGACTGATGCACTTGTCTGAAACAAGCCAGCTTGCAGTTTTACTAATTAAACCTAATACATTTCCTATATACTTATTTTCTGTAGCTCATTTAAAAGCTAGGAAACAGTGCAGGCTGTAGTAAAAGAGAGCTATCTCGAACCTTGCTTGTGGGTGTTTCTTCACCAATGGATTTTGGGATACACTTTCTGAATTCCATTAGAAAATCCTAACAATATACATTTTTCTTTGTAAAAAAAACAAAACAAAACAAAAACCACACTGTGCTCGCTTCCTATATTTTACTAATGCAGGTACACTTTGTTATGAATGAAAGGCTTGTAGGTAAGAATGTATTTCTGAGACTGTGACACTGTTCAGGGACCCCTTCACTAAAGACAGAAACTGACCGTTATGCAGTATTCTGGCAGAGGTCAGTTAAAGTGTTTGATTACACATGTAAATACGGTAAGCAGTGATATTTTAAAACCACCATTCTCAACAGCACAACTGAAACTTGATATATAGACAAATTCCATGAGGAGTAGTCTACGGTTATAAAATAAGAGGATGAAAGTATTTTGTAATGATATACTTACCTCAAGCTTTTCCATATGAAAGTCCTTTGTCATGTAATTCAACATTACTCGAGTTGAGCTTTCTCCTCCATTTCTTCTGTTATCACTACTTTCCTCACTTCCAATCCCAGATTTCTTTCCCTTTCCCTCCAGCAGATAATGGAATTGCTTCCTCCTGTGAAAAGATAATGAAAAGATTTACAGTTTTAATTATTGGAAACTTGGAAACTTTCTTTGAAAAAGTGCATATGTTTCTAGTGATTGTTAGGGTTTTTTCTTTTCTCCCTTTGAACACGTACTTTATGAGCTTTCAAGTTTATTTCATCCTCAAGTTACTCAAAATACAGACGACTCTACATATTCCTCCATTAATTTGCTTCTATAGGATGGACTTCGACATGTATCACGTAGCATCTTCGTAAATAGGAACTCTTGCGGCTTAAACTTTTATTAAGTATGTATCTATAGAAGACTAAAAATGGGATTTTTAAGCACCTTTTTTCTTACAGCACCAACTCTTAAATCTGCTAACTCTTACAGTCATCCACTATAAAGTACCCACTAAAAATAGTCAGTCTTAACCATGAAAGTCCATAGATCTTCACCAATACCAGTACAACTGGAGGATTAAGCAAGCAGTTCATTTGTGTACATGTGCCTTTTAATCGTACCCAGCAGACTTCATGTAACTTCTGTGAAAACCTCTGTCTACATGATTCAGGAGATGTTAATATTTCTGCAATAAGCAGAGGATTTATCTTCTCTTAAGATGTTATTTGTGAGATTTGTATCTTTTTATCTAGAAATAATTTATCACGACAGCATACAAGAGAGTTAAACAATACATTCTGAACAAATTCCAATTCCGTTCATGGCATTTTACCTAGATTCTCCAAATAACGAAAGCATGCGATAATGTGGCAGCTCAGAAGATGCTACATATGCCAGAATGCCAAAAAGCCTTTCTGCCATTACAATATCATTTTCAGTAACCTGTGAGGAAAGGGGGAGAAGGAGGAAAAAAATAGAAAAATTTGAGTTTCCAAATTGGCAGATTCATAATTCATTACACATGTACATCGAGAATCAACTGAAATTTGTTATAGAGAGCACTGAGTACAGATGTGGTCCAGGCATATCTTCAAAACATGGATTTGCTTTTACTGACACTTTAAACATACTTTAAAAGAAACCAAAGGAGGTTACTTGTGCTTGTTTTATTTCCTGTAATTCTGGAATCTATAATGTATACACATGCTACCCTGTGCTTCATGATAGTCTTCATGAAATGAGCAATTTTGTAACAATTTCTTACATTGAGCATCTGAAGTCCAGACATGTTAATTCTACTCCATACTGCATGCACTTACAGAAGGCTTACTGGAAGATTTCTGATCAAGTTATGCTGGAAAAACAGAAAGATTCTGTGTACCCACACATGAAAAGGTTAAGTCACGGTCTCTCCTGTTTCGGCAGCATCATAGAGAAGACTTTATAGAAAGAGAGTCTAGGGGTGGGGAGGGTGGGGCGAAGAAAAGAGTAGATCATTTTCTCTGCATTTTTCAACCCCCCAAAACAAGCGTTCCTCCATTATACTTCTCTAAATACCATCCACACTGTTGTGTCAATATTACATTACAGATGCCTCTAATTTTCAGTGGTTGAAAAAATTTTAGGATTAATTTTACACATTTCAGTTTTGTATAAAGAAGGTGGAAGGGGTTTATTTTTGGTGATTGTTATTGGTTTTTTTTATCTTGGCTCATCACCTCTGGAGACCATTGCCTGTGTTTCTCCTGCCCTGATGACCAGACTATGAACTGACTTCAACTGCCAAAACTTTGCTGGCATAGTTTCTAGTCTCCTGGCTTTCCACTGAGTGCAGAAGAAATCTTTATTATCGTCTAAATCTGACCTGGATAACACAGGACAATGAAACTCACTCAGTGACTTCTTAACTTCTGGATCAAATTTAATTTCCATTCATCTTATAACGTATTTTTGGAAAGCAACCCATTACTAAATTAACTTCAATACTCGCAATAATTACTAAGTACTTCCAGACAACATTTGTATTCTGTATTACTCAAATCTGTGAGTAAAATGCAATTTTGATCTAAATGAATGTAATTTTACTATATCCTTGTTTAATGTTCATGGACTATACAATCCACCCTTGCCTAAAGGGTACTGCAACAGCATAACACAGGAAGAAATTCACTAGAGTAAATATAGACCAGGAAATTAGAAATATAAAGTCAATTCCATTTTCGCAGTGTTTAGATTTGCTTGTTTTCACTTAAAATTAAGTAAGTTTTACTTAGTAACCTAGAAGAAGATGACCTCGCTCAACAGTCTGTTAACAGAAGCAGGGTCTAAAACAAAGAGTGCAGAAGGCAGCTAGGGAAACAAAGACCATTGCAGGCAGAAATGTCTGCTGGAGAAATAAGAGATTTTAATTTATTTATTTATGTTAAGAGAAGCATAAGGACCAGGTCAACAGAGACAGCAACACTGAATACACTCTCCAGTTCACAGAATATCATGTTCTCCATCGTACTCCAGTACATTGTTTGCTCCATTAATCACAAAAAGATGGTAACGGTAATATCGCATAAATGTACATCTATTATGCTTGCTTCTTGCCAAGTGCAGAGAACAGGCACCAAGTCAGTCAATGTCGTGCATCTGTTACCTTGTATGCCACACCACTTGGCGTAAAGCATTTTGCAAAGTTTAGTAACTTCAAACCTTGACAACTCTTAATTAATCAGAGATTACCTTCACTGGGAAAAAACTCCAAACAGTGCATCTCAACGAAGAGAATTTGCTTATCCACAGTTAGTAAACATTAACAGTTTGACAAGGGAACAAGATCATTCTTAGGGGGAGATAACACTCAGCTTCTAGCCTGGAACATAACTGGAATGGAAAGGGGAGGTTGGGCAGAAAAATAAAAGCTTCCTTATACATTTTTTTTTTTTTTTTGAAGTGCCAGAGTTATGCAATTTATTTAGTCAATTCAGTTCGTATATATTGCTTTTACTCACCAACTATAGGTACCTCAAAGCTGGCAACACAACAGCCTTCACAAACTCTGCACACAAATGATAATCAGAATAGCAGAATATGCACATTTCCATCATCTGAAACTATTATTTAGGGCTGATCTAAGGTCCAATAGCACACTACAGGGTTTGTATTCTTTACATTGAAACTCAATTTTCCATTATTGATATTAAAAGAAAAGGTAACGTATCTCTGCAAAGCTGGATACCAAGACTTCTGCTGTAGACTAATGAAAAACAGCGATCGGAGTTCATCTGTCTCTTCTGCTCGGCTATGAGACTTTTCAGATGATTAATGACACTAGGAAAAAATTTCTGTGTGCACATCTTCATATAGTGCAGTCTGGCTCAAAAAGTTTGTTGAGGACAAAAAACTTCTTCAGTCATATGTATTTAAGATTTGATATATGCCCTACATAAGAAGCATGCTGTGCTACATGTAAATCCGTTTACTAAATTCATCCTCAAGCACTATTAAATTCAAACATCTCCATCAAAGACTGAATTTGCTGACCATGAGATCGTAACAAGAAGACTACTTAAATAGTTGTGTTATTTTCCGGTTTTCTTTCTTTCTCCATGAAGGCCGAACAGGTCAGATTTATCTTCTATTTTCTTTCAATCTGAATCACTAGTGCTGATTTTGAAAACATGATGCAGTAAAAAAGAAACTTTAAACCCACATTCAACCTTTTTATTTCCCCCGCCTTTTTTTTTTTAAATCAACTTTGATGAGCATTTTTTTGTAAAGTACTAAATTCACGGTTATTTTAAAATTCTTGTGGGATTACTATAACTTTTTTTTTTTTTCAGTATACTGTGCCGTTAGAGCAAGTCATATTTGCCTTCCTCCTTTCTTGTCCTACCTCTGATAGCTAATTCACTCTTCAACCCGCTCCTGCTCTTCTGCGCAATTAATGCACGTGTTACAGAACTAAAACCAAGTAAACCACAACATTCAGGCTATGGCTGTATCAGATAGCAAGTAAAACAGCTAATCCAAAACATATGATGACGACCAAATTAAAATACCAGATCTAAACACTAAAGCTACACATTATTTTTGCTCTACTTATCTTCCATAACACCACTTAAACTTATTTAGTGTTTAAAGTTGAATGCAACATTGTGTTGTGTCATAACTATTCTTGCTCCCTTCACGATCAAAGCCCAAGTATGAAATAACCATTTTACATGCTTGAAAAAATTTACTTTCAATTGGCATAAAGGGGAACATAAAGTACAAAGAATAGCAATATTAGTATCCTAACTTTATATTTACACAAAACACACACCCAACAAAACCTGACATACTAACAATCTTGTACATAGCAAGCAAAGAAAAAATAAAACCCAAAATCTATTTGACAGACTTTTTCCTGTGATATGCTTAAAGAAGAAAATATGATTTTAGCTATATTCTGTAAATATAACAGAAATATAACACTGGAAATATAATCGTATACTGTAAACTACTAAGTAGTCTCTCAAAGACAGTATTCAGTGTCAGCACTGTGATTGTTCTGAACATAATAAAGAAGTGCTTCTTAAAATCAAGTAAAATCATACAGTTCTTTGTTTATTTATTTATTTATTTTTAGAAACACATGCAGAAATAAAAAAAAAGCCTTCCCTTCAGTTATATCCCAATCACTCCAGTACAGATTTGGACTGTCATTTGCACTTGCAAACAACTAAGACAATGCAACATTTCTATGGCAACTAAGAATCTTATCACCTTTGCTAACTGTAACACTGCGAAGCTGGACTTAAGAAATGCACAGCACAAGAAATTATACCATGAAGTCTACTTGAAAATTTTTTCCCCTAATCCTGAAAGGGCACTGATAGGGTTCTGCTCATTTTATCTGCAATTCACCTGCTTTTTTAAAAACAATGCTAATTTTTCTTGAGACCAATAGTAAGAAGGAGCAACACTGTCCTACCTTTACTCCATTTATCTTCTGTAGATTAAAATGGTTCAGTCTAAACAGAACATAGTATTTCCACAAAGTAAAGTTGACAACTGGATTTCCTTGAGGATCAACTGTCAACTGTTCAATGCGATGCATCTGAGCTAATGCATTGAATTGCTGCAGCATCACAAGATTGGTCTCCTTAAACTTCAGGTGCTGTGAAAAAAAAAAAGTCAAATCACAATAAATTAAATTAATAAAGAGAGAACATAATGATTTCTATTCTGTGCCACTCAAACAATTTTCAAACTCAAAGAAAGAGTCTTTAGGTCTGATGAAGCAACTGAGCTCACTTCAACTGAGGTCTTTGTGGCAAAACACACCAATGTATCAACCAGTTGGTGTGTTACATGTATTTAGAAATGTCAACATTACAAGGCCCTAAGCAATTTATAAACCCTTTAGTAACAGCACTAATGTTTTCACTGTTACAAAAAGCAGTGATACTATTTCAGCAATGTTTATTTTAATTTTGCAAGTAAAGCAACTGCAATATGCACACAAAAATAAGTACAATATATGTTTTTAAACATTCTTTTTTGGCCATAGCAGACTAGTATTAAGTCCTACTCTGCTGTTTCTTTGAAGCATGGCCTATGCTAGTGCTCCTATGAGGATGGTGTATTTGGCTACACAGTAGTACACTTGAGGGAACGGGAAGGAGGAAAAATTGATGGTGAAGACAAAAATTTAGTTGAGATTCTGCTATTCCCCCACAAATTACCCTACTTCCCCCAATGAAACAATTATTTAATTGAGATGGATAAATTTGTGGGGAACTTAATACAAATTTCTATATCTCAATGAAATCATTAAGTTCTGTTATACTCAAAACATTAAAAAGAAGCAGGGAGCTCAAGAGGCATATCATCCAAGTAACAAGTTGCTTTATGTAAGTTATCATTATTTTATTATTTGCTTCAAAATGACTAATTTAAATGTCCAAGGGAAAAAAAAAAAAAAAAAAAGGAAGTACTAAAGGGAACACCTCATTTATGTTGTTTTGTTTCATCAAGAAGTGAGGAATTCCAAGAGCCGTACCGATTCAGCTAGCTACTCCCTTTGAATTTTATCTCTCTCTTTTTATCCTACCAGCTATTTGATCTTTGAATTCACAACACAAATGAAGGTCTTCTGATACCATGGATCCATAACAATATTGTAGAAAGGCAACACTGTATTTACACATCAGTTTTACAACTTATAAATAATCAGCTAGGTCAAAGGAATTAAGAGAAATAATAACCAGTCTGCAAAGAAAACATTATCCTGTGTGAGAATCTAAATTAAAGTCTTGGGTTTTGAGAAGTATCAAGTTAGCATTACAGGGTAACACCAAGCAAACATGTAATTCACAAACATGTCTACATGAAAGCACTCAAGGGTGACCATGCCAAATTAAGGATCTATTAGACAATACATATTCCACAGCTGTTCACACAACTGAAATTTGAGGCATTCTTACCACAGAATTAGGAAATTTTATCTTCAGTTTTGTTAACACTTGAACAATTTCATCGAATTCTATGAACATAAAGGAGACTGTGACAATAATTCCAGCTGTTTGAGCACTCCAGTTTCGATCCAAGCACTCCAGCGCTCCAGCACCATACAAGCAAAGAGTGTCTCCTTCCACTTCCACCAAATGCGACTCAAGAACAGACAAGCCTTGTACTGCACTGCTCAATATTGTATCAAGAGACCTGTAGAGTAAGTAAAAATGCAGTGATACAAATGAGATTATTTTGAGATAGTAACATCACCGTATTGAACGATAGTCCTTTCATTTATCAAAATCTAAGCATCAAAAACGATTGCATTTCTCAGCATTCATTCACTCGCAGTACCCAATCTGATTCAAAACTACTAAGGGCTGGAAAATTCTCTTTCCGTCAAGTAACACTGCAGATATTCTACCTCTTTGGCAGAAAGGCTCTTGGTGTACTTGAGTGGGACAGGAAAAAAAAGAAATATTAAGATATTACTCATATTTAATAAGCTGCTTATAAATTTTAACTCAGAATGCTAACATATTTTGTGTTGCTTTAGATACCTAAAAACAGCTGCAATGTATTTATTCAGGTGAAGTCACCGTCACATTCAACATGAGTAAGAGGCTTTAAGAACAGTTGTTAAAAGCAATCCAGGACAATGCTATTCACAGTACAGAACAGTTACTTTTATTCTTGACAGGAATAACACTTCTTTCTCAAACCCGTAGGTCATATTATCTGATCAGGACATCAAAATTCATTATTCTGCTTAGAGATTACAATAATCTTATGTCTTATTATCCTTGTTTAATCCTTAATTAATAAGGATGACTAAGCATTTATTTAAAATAATGTGAGGTTTCCAATTCACGAGAGTGATTTTAAAAGTAAGCAACAGGTCCAGGTATTCTCCGCTCTCATTTCTTTGCACTTTACTTGCAACACGATACGTCCAGCTGACTGGACTGAAATGCACAGAGAATACATGATGGGCACAAATCACAGGCTTAGAAAGTTGTGTAATGATTGTTACTATTTCATCCTTTACTACCTTCCTAGTATTTTTAATGTATTTTGCTTTTTGACTACTAGTGATCACTCAAGTGATGTTTTCTTGACAAAAATCAACCAGAACTCTAAGATTTCGATCTTGACTGTAAACATTGAGAGCCTATCACTTCATACCTGAAGCTGTAATTACTTATCTATGCTGAATTTCCCCTGTCATTTTGTTGCTTGGTCACTCATCTTGAAAATATCTTCTGGAATTTTTCACTATTATAAAACATAGTAGTAGATCAATGTCAATTCTAATTCAGAGGGGGTTAAAGAACAATAAGGCGTCAAGGCTTTTTCAGGCTTTTGCCTGAGCTAGCCAGGTTGAAAGTGTGCTAGTTTGGTTTTAGCCAAGCCAAGGCACACATTGTTCTTTAAGTTCTGCATTTAATTTTTTACATTACATAGAATGCCAGATGGCCACCTTTTAGATGCAAATAAGCAAGCCACAAAGTGTATCACAAAAATAATATAACTATATTTTAAAACAACAATACAAAAATTATCTGAGAAAAAATTACCTTAGGAATAAAGCTAAGTCAAAGAACTGCTATTGTTAAAATAGCGTAGGCAGGAAAGTGGTCCAGTAAGAGATGCTGCTGTTCAAACTAAGAACACGACTTCAACACTCAGTTTATGAAACCTCTTGATACAAAAAGAGGTCACAAATGTTTGTAATGCTCCTACATCCTCATTTTGTTAATTTCAACCAAAAGGAACCATCTAAGCTGTCAAGGAAACCAACAGCCTTAAGAATGCTGAAGAACTCATATTTAACATTTCTTATTTTGCAAAATCATGTAGTAATTTAGCTCTCACTTCTTTAGTCTATGAGTTGCTTTTATATTACTTTTTTAACATATATTATTTATTACTGATTAATATATACAGGCCAACAGGTTTAATCATGAAGTAAAACATCTTTTCAGGATTGATTTGGATATATTACTTTTGATAATGAAATAAATTGAGATCTCATAGCTGACAAGTAGTAACCTGGAATATAAGATCGGAATAAGAAGAAATATTTCCCAATAAAATACCTGCTTTCTTCAGGAAATACATATGCAGCACTGCCATTGATCTGACAGGGTTCGTTATCTTTATCTTGGTTTAAAGAAGCCACAAGAGCTATTCGATTCTGCTGTATTTCCCACTGACGAGCAATATTACAAATTGTTAACCGTTTCTTTTCCTGAAACAAGATATAAAAGTTGTAATACGTTGTGACAATGCAATATCAACAGACTTGTCTGTTCTGCTTAAATATACTGCTTAATCAAAACATTGTAAACATTTTAAATCGAAGAAAAAATAGTACTGGTTGCTGGTTATGCATTAAAATCAATGCATTATTCTAGTGCTATTTGGCATAACTGCCAGCAAACAATGATTTCACAAAATTTGCAATAACAGAAACAAGAAAAGTAACATAATAAATTCACAACTTGTGAAAGAATAAAGTTAAACTATTTTGTTTGGATAACCACTGAAGTCTCATCTTGACTGTCCAGAGCTGCTTGTAATAATCCTCCCACAAAACAAGGCAGACCACTTGTACTTTCCTCCATGCTGCTAGAGTGACCCTAGCACTTAAACTACGACAGTTGTGCAACTGCTGTAAGTTTTAGCAGTAATTGCATCATACTCTGCTTGGGGGGTAAAAATTATCTTCTGAAAACCGGAAAAACTTGGTTTTATAAAAACAGAAAATGAGATTATCTTTGTGATAGAAACAAGGACTACAACAGTTATAAGTTAAAAAAAAAAACTGTTACAAAATATTTTAAGTAGCTTTTATATTCTAGACAGGTCTTGTCAATGAATCATTCATTATCTCCAGAGTCTATGAAGTTCTTGCTCTTGTACAGTCATGCACATCCTGTCAATTACCTACAATTCTATACACAGGTTGTTATTCTATTGTACCATACAAATATATATGATTCAACATATCCAATTTAGTGTACTTCAAAAGGTTAAAGAACAAGGTGCTTTGTAGTTTGTAAGAGCTCACAGACAGGCAGCTGAACTCTCATCAAATGAAAACCACACAACATAAATAATACCAAAGGGTAAATACACTGTTAGTTCCACCTTGTTTGGTTTTTCTGAACCAGATCTAATTCTCTGTGAGTCAGCCATCTCAGTTACACTTCTCTCAATGAAACTCCAACAGTGACTTAGAATTTCTGAAAGGAAAATATTATAGAGGAGCTTAACATAAAAAACATTTACATCCACAAAACATGGACAAAACAGTATCAGTCAAAGCCAATGATGTCTTGGTTTATAATACCATACTCCAAACTGATGCTGTTATAAAAACGTAGCTTTGAAGTCCATACAAACGCAACAGCCTTAATTTAAAGCTTCCCACTCTTGGGAAATATTAAAAAAAACCATTATATTCTAAGAATCTCTTAATTTCTCTCATATACTTCAGAACATCACTATTGAAAATGGAATACAGACAAACATCCTGATATTTTGGAATGGAGGGGAGGAAAAAAGGCTAATAGGAGTTTGCCCTACATAGTATCAACAGTAGTTCAGAGGCAGTCGGTGTATTTGTCACTAATTTCAGCCATAAACAGGGGAAGGATAAAAGATGCATAACTCTTCAGACGTATTAATGAATATTCTACTTCAATGCTATGAAATTTTGAACTGAAACAGCAAGTACTTGTTAGCTTGAAGTTGCAATGATCTCAAATTGGGTCTAAAAGGATATCAGGTAAGGTAAATCCCTGTTAACAATTATTTCCTGAGAGCATAAGCTAACCACGTTTATCAACTTCTTACTTATCAATTTCTTACCAGTGTTAAAAGTCTGTCTAATATCATAACTTTAAATATAATTACATTAGTTCCTGTCTCCTTTATAATATTTAGTTAGGCTAAGATACAAGAAAATAACATAATATTGATTAGGATTTAGAAGGCTGTATCAAAAATCCTGTAGGCTAGGAAAGGCTTTATTTGTTTTAAAATTGAACACTTACATTTCTGTTTTAAGATAGACTCTGTGGTTGGAAAAAAAAACACAACCAAACACAAAGTTTGATTACAGCCCCTTTTTTCAAATAGGAAAAAAAAGAATTTATTGGATATGCAGAAAGGCAGGGAACCAGGGTACATCTATTTTTACAATTTGAAATTAACACTTTTGATGCATTAAGTTCGACTTACAGTCGCTATGCTCCCAGGTTAAATCTACAAAAGTAACATGTGACTGTTACCATCATGTTTTTATATAGTTCTTTTCACAGTGGGTGAGTTGTGGACATCACCGCAATGTAGTTCACTAAGAACGCTCCTCACGGTATTCAGTGTTGGAGATGTGAAGTGTAAAGCACTACAAACGAATATTTCTTTGAAACACAGAAAATAGTAGATCAACAAAAAAAGCAAGCATTTCACCGTCTGTGACTGCTAATTTGTGGAGCCTAGGTATTTCCTGTAAGGAACAACTGCATATAAACGTTTCACAACATTTAATACTTACATTGCAAATCCCTCATGCTGCAACTATTACACTCAGAGCAAACACCGTGATTGGTTTCAATGACGGATACTGCAGAGATAGATCTAATGGACTCTAAACGCTGATAAAAATTATGTTGATAATTGTCTATAACTGACACTGAAAGTACATGGAAACTGCTTTACTTTTTTTCTTCTCAAAGTCTTTTAATTTTAAAGAGCTCAAAACTTGATTTCACATTCAATCTGTCCAAAGAGTTATGATGTTATCTGGTTAGAGAACACTAAGCACCCAACTTTTACAAACTTCAGTGATGACGGGGCTCCATGTCACAGAAAGTAGAGGACGCTGAAATAGTCAGCATTTCTTCCAATCACATTTAGAAAAATTTATTTGTTCTGGAGGGTGAGGGTCTCCTCAACCTCAACTACTGTACAGCTCTACTGCTTTGTTAGCCCTCAGTTGTGGGCTGCTGGATTCCTACAGACTTTTGAAAACTTCCAAGAATTCATTTTACAAAAAGCAAATGTTAGAAGTGTGAAGCTTCTGCTAGCAATAATATTTACTGGCACAAGAAACAGTTAAGTTCAGTCTCTGTTGGAAAGGAATTACTTTCTCTGTACATTTCAAAGTACATATTGAACTTTCCCAGAGGAGTGGGTTTTAAGTAATAAAAAAATAGTCTGGAAAAAGAGAGATGAAGGAACTCTGCTGTTCGGGTAGAAAAGTATCAGCAAGGGGGAAAAAAAGAGATATTGCTGAAATTAACTTTTCTGATGCAGTGAATATAAGAAAAGAGCAATTGTTTGCTACTGAATGACTATTTATAATTTGATTTACACAACAGTTTAAAAAAGTTTGGAGGAAGGTGACAACAAAAATTGAAAAATACGATTCTCTAAATACTTTCTTCAGATTTCACTAGGAAGAAAATTCTATAGCTCGCAACTTTTTCACTGGACATTGTATCTATGAGTAGATTCGTTCCTTTCAATTCAAATGTGTGGAACAGGAAAAAAGAAACCAGAATCACACACAAGAACGTATGTACAAAGGAAAGATACACAAAATCACTGAATCATGCAAAAGATACTGGTACTTGGCTCTCATGCCACTTAACTATTTGAAGATAAGAAAGATACCTTGATTAAATTACAAAAAACTACAATGTAATGTTGAAGCCTGAGTAATAATGGCATTATACATCAATTTTTTTTTTTTTTCTTCTAAGGGAAGTTTCCACTAGCAAAATGCACTGAGAAATCTAGGCCATCAAGACATGCAATCTCTCTACTACAAGGAAACATTACATCAATGGTTAAGAACGTGAACTACAAATAAACACTTTCAATAAACACCTTTTTTCCAGTCCAGAGACACAGTTAGCTTTTCAACAGCATAAAATAACACTGCGTGAGAATATTATTCACTAATGTGCCATTTCTTTATGTTACTAAGAACTGCCACCAAAACTTCAAACCTTAAGAGTCTTTAAATACCTCAGTATTTTAGAGAAAAAAAAAAACAAAAAAACTCCCACACAACCACTGCAACACTGCTTTACAACAAAAAGTCTGCTAAAAAACCCCCCACTTTTATGTTCTATTGATTTTTGTTCTTTTTAAACAGAAAATCAAAATATACATGGATATAAATATAAAGGAAATCAAAATATATTCTTAGACACTAGACATTAAATTATTTTTCCTCCCAACAACTAATATACTGTCAACATTCTGTTTGTGTCTTTTTATTTTTCAGAGTTATGTATATTTGCTAAACTTCCTACAGCCTCCTGCAACTGCTTTCAGTCTAATCCTCTTCATGAAATATGATTTTAACTGGATAACTTAATATGGTTACAGGAAAATTTTTTGTCTGTCTGTCAAATTGAAAGAGTTTTTTGTATAACCAATAACTGTATAAGGAGACAGCAAGAAGTTTTAGGTACTTTATCCTCCAAAGAAAAATGATTTGGAGACAAATGGCAATATTCAGTCAACAAATGAAATGCAGATACTCTTCAATCCTTGAACTTTGGTCTCCTTTTAGCAACATCAGTCACTTAGTCACCAGCCCCATAAGAGTATTCTGGAGTGCTTCTCGGTCTCCCCTGTTAGAGCCATTCCATCTGACATATGTAAGTATTTACCAGGCCAGGTGGTCTAGTAGGTAAGTGTTCTTCTGAAAAAAGAGACAGCTGGAGCCTAGCTGCTGCTCTGATGACTGTTTAACTCTTTCTACAAAAAGGAACAACTTCAACAGGAAAGAATGAAAGAAAAACTACTTCAGAACACCCTGCATGGCAGTAGTTAGAGAACTCACCTGAAATGGGGGAGACCAAGTTCAAGGAACCTGAAATAACTGAAAAGTCCTTTACTCTGTATTTATCTCTGCATTTGTGAAAATGAGGTTTGACATCTTTTTACATATATCACACTCATGTATTCAACTGTTGGGTTTTTTTATTAAAGTATAACTTGCATAGTTGACTGAAGAGAGATGCAGTTGCGGAGTGCACTTTTTAAGCTGTAAAAAAAAGTTTAGAGAGACAGAGGCATATTGGGATATGTAAAAGCTACAGCAAAGAAAAAAATAATTAGGATATAGATTATTGCCGTAAACAGGCTTACAGTAGGCTTAGAACAGCCATAGAAAAATACCTTAAGCAAGGTCTGTTTGTGACTTTCACGCTTCCTTTCTTCCTCTTTCCTTGCTGCAACAGATGCCATACGTCTTTCTTCTTCCTGGATGAAAAAAAAGAAAAACAACCTCATAAGAGGAGAAATTAATCAAGTTCTGAAAAGTATTATTAATAGATTAGTAATATATTTTTGTGTTGGTATTTGAAATGCAAATTGGTATTTCTAGGATTTTTAACACTTTAATGTTTCTAAATATTATTTAAAACAATAAAATTGGTAATTAAAAATAAATAAAAAATACTGAAAAAATAGATGTCTACTCAGTTACAACTACTGAAGATAAAGCTATTTAAAACTAGTATTCGTAAAGGCCTTTGAAAATTATAAAGCATATGATGAGTATGACAGTGGAAGAGAACATTTTTAAATATAACAGTGCATTATATCTTTGTATTTTTGCACTACTTTTTGCAATTAGTACGATTTTATTTGTAAGACAAGACACGGAATGAATGAGCTGAATTCTATTTATGCTCAAATCATAATTTAAGATTGATTTTTATCATTATAACCTGTTTCCAGGGGCTTGCTTTTCTCAATCAGCAACAGAACTTGAGAAGAAAGGAATATTTTCAAAGTTAACTACAGTACATTTTTTCTCATCAATATTGTTACCTATTCAAGAAGAAAGCCATTAATTTCTAAATAACAGAAGTCATGCAAGTGAAGATGCTTAATTTTCCTGGCACAGCAATTTAATACTACCATACACCCCTATTAGGTTGAATACTCCCTGTTTACACAAGTCTAAACATTCTCAGAGCACAGTATTTTTAGGACATATATTTTTCCAAGTAACAAAAGAAATGTTCACTATGAAGTAAAAAGTGTAGAGGCCTTCCAACACAAATATTTGGGAAGCATACTTTAAGTTATTTTGATTTACTTCACATGCCATGTGGGTGTTTCTATTAAAGTATCTTCCCAGAACATACGGACAGTGTTTTGATTTCCCTCAAAATATAAAGCTCCTGTCCTAACCTTTTCATTTTCACTTTCCAGAAAATTGTGTGTTAAGAAAATTAACAAACAAAAATGAACAGAAAACATCATCAACCATGAAGATATATGGATATGTCAAAATTTCTACATAAATAAAACATCCTATGTTTAGAGCATTGAAAGAAACCCTAAGCACATGGGTGAATGCCTACTGGAAGATAAAATAAAACAAGAACTTCACACTTAGCACTGCTATTACATTTTCAAGAAAATAATTTCCAAATCATGAGAAGTTAGGTTCACATAGCAAACTTACTCTTAGCTGTGTACAGCTCCCCTGAAACCCCATGACATACCATGGATTTTGACACTAATCTGAAAGGTGGTTAAATAAAAAACTTCCAAATTTGTCCTCCATGACTTTAACCCAATATATATAGGAAACAAGAGGAGTATCTTAATGCAGATCAAGGCATGAGGCTTTATGTAGAGTAAGCTTCTCTAACCCAACCACATGCAAGAATTTCCCTCGAACACTAATTGGAAAGCCTAATTTTTTTTTTTCCTCCCTTCTTGTTCTTAAAGTAACTTCTGGCCTTTTGAGGGTGAAGTTTTGTGGCAGCCTCCTCTGCTACTGGGCTTTTCAGTTCTTCCTGAACAGGGTATTATCAAGGGCTGGTGCCACAGAATTACAGAATAATTCAGGTTAGAAGAGACATCAAGAGGTCACTAGCCCATGCTGAAGGAGGATCAACAATAAATAAATAATTAAACAAAACCACACACAGATGCACAAGGCCTTCTAGATCCCAATACAACAAAACAGCACACAATGAAACCTAGTACCTGAACAGGAGGGTACAGGGTGAGGCTGTGAAAATCTTGAAATAAACCCCATGCAGGTAATATACTACAAATACGAATGAATAATTAACAGTGCAAAATAAAAATGTAATGTTTCTCAATATATGATTCAAATTCTTGATAACTACAGACATTATTCTCATGACAGACATTTATCCCAATTACATGCTACAGTGCACTAAGTTTGTGTTTACTTAAAAAAAATTTGAGGTCTTAAAATAAAAATAGGAACACTAGCAAACTACCTTAGTGATATCTTTCTACAGAAAGTGGGTTAGAGTTGTTCTGTTGTATTGGTTTGAGGGGTTTTTTTTTATTCCCTAATTAAATCTCTTCATGTGACCTTGCATTTGCCCTCTTTAACTTGGCTTCCTAAAGAAGCAAGCTTTTTACAATTCCAGTGTCTTAACCTTCTCTAATGACTTCTCAACACATCAAACATATTAAATAAAGTACATTTAGAAGTCTCAAATCAAGGGTTTTTTTTGTTCCCTACAAGTTTGATTACATAAAATCAGTAAGTAGAAAGAAATCTAAACTATTTTTCCCACCAAAGGAAGCAAAAATTATCCATTCTCTTTAGCAGAAAACAGCTGGCCAATCATCATAGACTCAGCTCCAAACTGAGGTATTGTTGTGTTTCACATTAGGGAAGGTGAGAATTACAGAACAAAATTACACTAATCTACAGGAAATTAGCCTTCATTGATTTTATTCCTTTCAAAACAACTGAAGGTGTTGTTTTGTTTTTTTCCCCCCAACCTTTAAGACAAACATCCACAAAGTTCCCTAATTCAGTTTTCTCTCAGCTTCCAGAAATACCTCTTCTTACTCTATCTTCCATGTCTAAGCCTCCCCTTAATCCAGCCCCAATGTGTACTTTATGACGCTGTCTTCCATACATAAGGGCCTACTGCCCTCATTCGAGTCAGACCAGTGCCTTCCCTGCCCACACAGTCTCAATACAAATAATGAAAAGAGCTAATACAAATTATGTTATAAAAAAGAGTCTCTTATTAACTGAATAAGACCTCTTTCTTGATCAAGAGTTTATCCTAATTACAAACATTTGAAAAATACTATTTCTTTTACAAAAGAAATTAGCTCAGTCTGAAAAGAAAACACATCCTAGTTTTTCTCAGTATTAATAAAGGCAGAATGATAGAGAAAAAGTCTGAATAATGGTCAAGGGCCAGATCTACTTCTTATAGAAATCAAATCCATATTTGTTTCTTGATTAATCTTACACAACATACGCAATCAATCTTGAAAAAAAAACAAAACATCCCCACAAAACCCACAAAAAAAACCCCAGAAAATCCACAAAGTTTTTATAACTTTTGTAACTTTTATAAAGCTCTTAATAACTTTGCCACAATTAATTTTTACTATTACCTCTCCTCCTTTACCTCCAGCTCTTTTGCCATTCTATCTCCCTTTTTCGTTGTTCCCCCTTATTATTCTGCTGCTATTGTCCAGAACTTTGTTTCATGTTTAATCCAAAGACAAGGAGGAGGATGCTTTTCTACAAAGTGGAAATGCCAGATCATTACAAAAGGACTTGGATGTCCTCTTGTATATTGAAACATCCTCCACTTACTAGCTCCCCACTTCCCATCTAAAAACTTACTAAATGGCTAAGAAGCCATCCTCACAAAAAAAAAAAAAAAAGGAAAGAAGCAGAATTCTCACTTTCTGCAGTGAGATTTTCAGGCTTCTGGTTTACATGCTCAGTGAGAAGCAACAGTAGCGACAGAACACAAGGCAGCAGAGGCACATGAAAGCCCTTACTGCCCCCATGAAAACTTTCCCTCAGAAGTGTATATCTACATCTCTGTGACATGCTGGGAGCTCCCCCTGCTGCTACAGGAGCACCACGGTGACTGTCACACCACGGACTGCGGCCAAACCTGTCGTTATGGCATCAGTCTTCTAAGAGGTAACATCCAGCAAGACCTGAGAAGGATCCTAAAGAGACCACAGCAGAATGCACATATTCTTCCTCACTACTGCTTTACTATTATTCAAACAAGTTCTTTTTCAACAAATGATAATATTTAAGTCACGGGAGAAAAAGACACTAAGCCTAGTTAGTTTAAGACACAAGGAATGCTGCATTTCATTTCCATAGTACATTTACCATAAATTATTTGAATACTTTTGCTATAGATAAGAAACAGCTATAGTATACTTGATATAAACTACTTTAGGAAATGAAAAGAAAAAGGAGAACATGAAGAATGACCTGGAACATACATTTAAGCTTTCAAGGCACAAAGAGACTCAATACAATACACCAAAGATAAACAAATTTCAGCTCACATACTTGCAAGAGGCAGACTACTTTTTGCTATGTATACCACAGAGGCTGATTTTGCATAAGAATGAAGTAAGAATGTAAAAATGGTTCTAGTAGAAATATAGCCATGGAAAACAAGTACAAAATTTTTGACAAATAGTTCTTTAAGTGATATTTGACAATAAGCTATATCTCCATTTTTTACTTTTAGTATATTTTCACAAGACCTGATTTAAGAGAGAGAATTACAGTCCACAAAAATGACTCTAGAAGTTCCTGAAGAATCTTATTTTCAAGTGGAAAGAAAAAAAGATACAGATCCTTCTCTAAACAACCAGAACACTCCATAGTGATGATGGAATCGATAACGAATCCTCTTCTGGATAAAGCAGTAGAACCCACTCCCCGATCAGCACAGAAATGTCTAAGCAAATAATCAAAACCAAACACAGTTTACTTTAAGCATATAAAAACTATAAGAATCACAGTGGAAAAAAGCCAAGTTTTTAGTGTTAAAAAGATGCAGCTTGTCTTTCAATTTGGGAACCACAGCACATTTAAAACATATATACATACACTATATATTACATATACACACATGTAAATATATATACTTAGGAAATTCTGTTGAGAAAGTGTATTTAAAGTGATGGATGGCAAATGTTCCTGGTTAAACAATTTCTCAGTAAGGAATATATGCACATTTCATTCATATTTTAATATTTTATTACATGTTTGCAGACTATCTGCTTACTGTTATGAAAGACTGGAGGAAAAAGGATAGGTTGCAGCTAAACTGTAAGCACCACTGGACAGGCTCGCTTTTTCAAACGTTCAAACCACAAAACACATTTGAAAAGCTCATTGCCGTGTGTTAACCAAACAATGCAAACGACCACATATGCAACCTGAGCCTGCTTTAACTGCAGCGCACTTGAATTTCGCATGAGCCAACTTCATTGAGCCATAAATCAAGTCACATCACCTCACAACTAAGGTGGACTAAAGCTGTAACTGTTACAGTTACTGATGGAACACAGTATGTCCAGCCTGAGAAAGTAGATGATTTCCAATGATCTGACATTTTACATACACAAGAGGTCAGGTTTTTCAGTCATCTTCTAGTGTGGAAAACGATTAAGTGTTTACAGTCTTATAGTGAACCTCGTTACAGGTGACGAAGCTCCACTGATCTCACCAGTGCTGGGTCCATGCCTCAGTGGTTTAAGAATTTAAATCATACATTCAAAAATGGCTTAGGAATGAGATGGCCTAAGAAAACACCCACTTCCTCATGGGTCAGGTTTAAAAGTTGACATAATACAATGCAGTCCCTTTGAGTAAAGGCAAATCTGCCTCGACTTAAGAAATATTAGAACAATTACAGTGTAAAAAAGTTTTATTCTGAGTGCAGAATACTTGATTTTCATGGCAGCTACATGTTTCTGAATAGTTCCCTAAAGCAGAGACAGTTACCACCAGACTTATGCTCCAAGGTTCCCTTTCTCCAGAGGATCCTATGGAAAAGGCCTGGCACTAAAGAGCACGTCTTCTTGAAAACCAATATGAATAAAGCTCCAAAGTCTCTTACAAACTTTTGAAAATATCCTTCAGATTCTATTCTTTCTTGAAATAATTTTCTTGTCCCAGTGAAGTCAGCAAGTAAAAGAAGAGCTAAAAGCTGAAGTAATCATTGTGTAAAATTCACTTCTTGAGCAGAAGAGCTTCTGAACAGGTTAATGAAGAATTCCTAGTCAGAAAAAAAGCAGCCTCCCAAGTCTGACTCTTAGTTCTTTACAAGACAAAAGAATGCTTAAGTTCAAAAGGTCTGAATGCTCTTGAGACGAATGAAGAAGAGATCCTATAAATGTAATTACAGTTTAGGTATACTAATTGAGTGAGAAAAAGCACATACTCAATATCCCACTTCTTTCATTCTCCCCCTTACAGCCAATGACAACACCATGTTGTATTACTAGGCAGAATAGCTGGATTTGGTATTGCCGATTCTCAAATTTTATCACAAACCTTATGATACTTGTTATTTTTCTTAAAATCTCAGTTTCTTAAGTCATAAGATTATCTGGGTAACAGAGGTTTTTATTGAAGAAAACATACAGCACCCTCTACATGGAGAAAACGTTGAAAAGAAGTTCTCAAGGCTCAAAAACCAGAAGGCAAATAAAAAGAACGCAAAACACACTGTTTTTACAAGTAGATTTATGAGCAGAATGATGCTGAAGTCTGGTTTTCTATGGCTTGTTGTCTTGTGGTTGATTCTCTGATGTTTAACAAGGTGCAAACCCAGATTAAGTTTTTCCCATGGCTGCGCATTTCTAGCATCTTTTTCCCCATACAGATCCCATAGAGTCTAAAAAGGAGTTTGAGCTCTTTCTACAAGATTTTCTCCATCACAGAGTCCTACCAGGATTTATCTCCTCTCGAGGAGTGGGGGACAAAGACATATTTTCTTTATGTGACTCAAGTTTCTGAAATAAGACTGAGAAAGTGATCTTTTTAAAAGCAAAGCAATTAGCAAGTTTGCAATTAAGTCAGTATAAAGTCACAAAAAAACCCACAACTGACCCATAGGATAGCTGCAAACAAACAAGTATTTAATCTTTTTGATGCTGGCAGTAAAACTCTCACAACCCAAAGCACTTTAAAATTAATGTTTTCCAAAGACACGTTGTATTTTACATCATAATTGGCTTTATTTTATACTCATGGAGGATTGGCTACAGAATGATAGATGGTAAACGACAGGTGCAATTGCTAACGCAGTACAGCCTTTGCACAAAGCAAGCGAGCATTTACAATAGCTATCTGTATCAGCGGCCGGTCAGAAGGTACCACTGCAATGCTCTTGCTTGTAAAGTATATCCTATTTGTTACCTTGCAGTTGGATGGATTGCTCTTGTAAGGAGGACACGCTTACATGCCACTTTTGAGTAGACACAGAAGAACTAGCACAGCTATGCTTATTTTAAGAGATAAGAGTTGACCAAACAGTAAGGTGCCCTGGTGATTACCCTTCATCTTCTACCTTACAGAGTATTTTCAAGATGTCTGTAGCAGACTTAGCTGTCTGCAAGTCCTCTCTTCCTTATCAACTTTACCTGAACTTGAGCAGCGGAAACAGAAATGAATGGGGAGAGTAGGTCAGGTAAGGAAGGGAGAACTACAGACACACAGACACTGTGTGATCACCAGGTTTCCTTAGGGAGGTAGACTAAAGAAACCAACAAAATTTTTTAAATTAAAGAAAATACCAGTAATGCCAATTTTAGGGTAAACAGACTATTCCTTTGGAAGAAACATGCTGTTCCTTTTCAGCTACACAGTAAACCAGTAAAGGCTGTTGAGAAAGTTATAACCAAAAGCTTTGCAGATTCTCTCCTTCTCTCTTTGCAGATCATGGCAATTGATCACACAGTATTTACTAATTAAGAGTTTAAGTGTTTAAAAATAATCGTTAAAAATGAAGTAAAAAAGCACACCCTTACATAATACTACACAAAAGAAAAAAGGTTAAAGTTTTAAATATTGTAATGTCTATACACCATTCTATTCCATACTACATTAAGGAAAAATGGTGGTATTTTTAATACATATATATACAGAAAATCCTACATTTTACCTCTGAATTTAAGAGTCTAGTAAGTTTGACAAAAATAGAAGTTTCTTACTGTGATTCTCTTCATATCTAGCTGTCGGAGCTGCATCATATGATGAAGAACAGTGTGTTTGTACCATGTCTCCTGAGCTATTGGATTGCCATCAAGGGTGATATCTGACAAAGATGAGGAATCAGCAAGGCACAGAATATCCTCAAAACTGTAATCGAAAAAGTTTAAAGTTTTAATGTCACAGAGTAGGAATAACTTTGAGATGGAAGATTTTATTCCTTAAGAATACAACATGAATATTTACCTGTACTGAAAAAACCCCACCCATCAGTACTGCATATGATAAATCAAATTGAAAGTATTCTGAAACACAGCAGCTGCTGTTAAGTATTTTAATCTCTTCACATACAGGTAAAAAGAGATATAGAATAAGGAAAACTTGTTAACTATGGGAGTATAGTTTCACCTAAAAAAAAACAAACAACAAACCCAAATGAAAATAGGATACATATCAACTCATATTCCAAAAAAATAATACAAGGTGTATTTCCCATCAAAGCCAGCAGGAAAACCATCAAAATACAAGAAAAAGCCAACCACAAATACCACAGAATGATCCTGGGTGTTTGCAATCTCATTAAATATCAGAAGAAAAGCAATTACAAACCCATCATATTATTGTCAAAACAGATTTGTCTACTGTTCCGAGTTCAGTCTACAAACACTAAAAAGTTGGCTTTTTAGACAACATCTAATTTCATTTCCTGACAAAAATAACTGGCTTGTGTAAACTGTATTTAAAGATATACAGCCTATATCATGTTCCTTTTCATTGAAGATGGAATGTGAAAGAAAGCAGCTGACTTAGATAAGCAGTATTTTTAAACAAAAGAAAACTTTATAAATTGATTTATTAAAAAAAAAAAAAGGTGAACAGTTACAGAAGTAAATATGACTCCCCAATGCCTTTGAAGAAATTGATTACAGTGTGTAAATGTCCAACTGTGCACCCATCCTTATGCACTTTGGCCTTCAAGAGTCAAGTCTGTGTTACAAAGTTAAGTAAGTTCAAATGGAAAGTATGAAATAATTTGACTTGATACTTTTGAGAATGAAGTTAAAATCTGAAAATTACAAGAGAATCAATGATGATGACAAAAGTAAAGAGAGGATCACTTTACTAGATAAACAAATATTTAATGACATTCTGCAATAAGAGACCATTTCTGAAGTGGAAAATATGGAATCATTGCCCTTTTTCTCATATTCTGACAATCTTACGGATTGCACCAACTGGTTATAGTTCCTCTCACTCTTGGAGGCAGGAAAAGTCTTCCTCAACTAATACTTGGAAGGATACCAAACTTTAAGTATGCCCTTAACTCAGGGATCAGGAAATATATGCAGTACAGATGTTCAGTATTAGACTGTCACTGAATAAAGTGGCAACTGCCTTTGTCATTGGTATGACTCAACTTTCAAAAAAGCACACAGTTATCTGCTGAGGACTAACATTCAGCTGCAAAGGGCTTCAGATCTGCCAGAACACCACAATGGAACCCGAGATATCCTTGAAAGATCATAGATATTAGATAAAACAATTTCTGCAACAATAACAAAAAGAAATACGGATAAAATACAAAAATAATATCACTGAATAGCAATCAGTCTCAACCAGCAGAAGAAAGGCCTAGATACCAACATTAGCTCATAGGAGTAAAGAAAATAAATTACCCAATAAAAATCTCAGAAAAACCCAACACAATTAGTACAGTATGCAAGTAAGTTCTGCATGATATACCCAATGGATGCAGCAGAAAAATGATGATCAAGTGGAAGATTCTACTACCTTTCTGCTTAGCATATTAAAACAACATAAGAACTGATGGAAAATGAACTATGTAGAGATTCCAAGGAAAGCAGTGAAGGCGCTCAGCATATCTGGAGAACTATATGTTCTGTACATGTGGTTAAGACAAGTTTGATTATCATTTTCTGCTTCTTTTTGTGATCAGATTTCCTTTCTATAAAACAGCTTGTGTACGCACATTTTTGAAGATCAGGCTGACATATTACTTAAAATACATACTCAGTAAAAGATAACCTTCCCAAATGATACTGAAGTTTGCTTTACTAACTTGTAAACATGTCAGAACGAGAAAAGATAACCGAATTTCCATTGGGCTAGAATAGATTTTGCTTGACAAACATCAACATTTTTTTCATCTTCCAAGTTAGTTTCAAATAATGTAAATATATTTTTTAAAAGCATTAAATATCTTTAGTCCAAACACTTGACCAAATAGTACCTCTGCCATTACATATGTCTTACAGATTTTTAATACAACCATTCTCTTCAGGAAATGACAGAAGAGTTGGAAGTTTGCTAGTGTTTTCAAGACCTTCCACTTATACATACTGCTGTGCTTTGAAATTCTCAGTGCTTCAGCATGCCAGAACGTTAATTCTGGAGCTAAAACAGATGTGCTTGCTTTATGCTGCCCTATTAGCAGCTCAATTTTAGAGCAAAACAGTAGCACAAAATAGCTATGTTTTCTCATCTTTGTATACATGTATTAAAAATAGAGCTTTAGAAATTCAATGTAGAAAACTTGATATACTGTACTTGTCACACTGGCATCCCAATCCTAAGCCAAGCAAAGCTTTAATGTAATGCACTTACCAAACAGACTGCATACTTTACAACCAAGCTTCTGTCTGCTTCCCAGCACGCCGACTGCTGTGACAGAGCCAAGTGGTGACCACCCTACAGGAATCAGAGGCCATGTCTCAATGCTCTCTCTAGCCTCTGTTCACCACAAAGGAGTCTTTAACCTGCTCGTGAAATACAAAGCAGCTGTGGATGATGCTGCTTCAGACTGCCTCAGTTAGTCTTCTTGAATGGAACGTCTGCTTCTCTTTCCAAAAGACCTTCTCCTGCAGGAGTCACACCAAACTACAGCAACCATCTCTCCTTCCCTGTCCTTCTTTCTTCCCAAATGAATTTATCTTTGCTAAAATGGTAGTTTCAGCAACATAGAAACAAGTTGTGAATTTGGGCTAAATTACCAAAAAGTGTTTTCTAGAAATCCTCTCAGAATAGATCAGTTTTACGTCTTGTGTGCATGCTTAGGGTCCTGCATCCAACTCTCCCTCTCTGCCAGAGGGGATGCAAACCCACTTCTCCTGCCTCATACAAGAGCGTGGCAATTACTGAGCAGCAGAGTATTCTTGAGTGGTGCAATCTCAGCCTGCACCAGTGATATTCTTTCACGTTTACACATTTAGTAGGCAAGAAGAGGACTCAGGAACACTTGTCCTCTGTTACAGCCTACTTGCTCGGGAAGACAGTTGTTCCTTCTCTATACATTTGCATCAACGGCTCTTTTAAAGCATTTTCCATAAAGGCGAAAAGCTCTGGAGAAGAGAAGTAAGGCAACATACTCGCTATAGTCTGACAGAACACCCAAGAGGGAACTGCATGTTCAAAAAACATTCAGTCAAAGAAAAAAATTGGGTTTTCCCAGGTTTCTAACCACTAAACTACTGATGAAAACAGATGTTACCACAGCCAATCTTTCATTCCCCTTGTACTGCTTTTGTTCAAGTATTTAACAACCTGTTTATAAATTTTCATTCTGCTGAGAAAAAAAAAAAATAAAATCTTGATTTTATTAGGCTAAGAACATTCCTTCTCTCAGGTTTCCAATTCAGCAACCAAATGAAGAAAAACAATTACACATCCTTTGGACTGGTATCCAACTTGGTCCATATGGCTAGACAATGTGCCTTAACAAATTAAAAGGCCAACATAGTGCTGACCTGGACAGCAGTGTAGCAGTAAAAATATGTATTTTGTTTCCAAGATTAAAAAACAGTCTTCCCTGGTTTCACATTTTGAAATACGAGCAATAATCTTCTTTCTCAATCTCAGTGGCATATCCTTCCTGAAGATAACAGTTTCTGTAACCTCTTCCCAGTACCGCATGACAAATTCAAAATGGGATTTCTCCCCCTTCTTTATAACTAGGTTCTAGAGATATATATTGCCTTCAATCCTCAGGTATGAACACCATCAGTTTGTAACTGTTAAATTTTTGGGGTCTGAAGCCAGAAGTAGGACTTCTTTTACTTCAGATCAGCATCAACTTTTACAGCAATCAATTTTAGTTTATATTACCTGGCCAATACCTCCTTCTTTACTAGAAATCTCTGCAGAGAAGACGCAAGAGTCTGAGGCTCCTCTGAAGAATGAGGAGAAAAAGAACAGTGACTAAACGCATGATAGAGTCTCATGCCTCAAATAGTGACAAATTTTAAAAGGCATTCCCAAATTTTTTACTGAAAGATTAATTCATGTATGTAAGTATGTATCAATTTAAGACTCAAAGATTTTTGCTGACATACAAATATAGGAAGGGAGCTTTGCATGGCACTTTTCCATGGGAGCACTGCCTCAAAAATGCTACTTTTTTCTTTAAGGATAACTAATAAAATATTGTAATGAACCTGTGACATAACTATATCCAGTTTTTGGCAATATACTTTGCTGTTTGTTTCTGTTTGCAGGCTTTCTCTATGCGATACAGATAAATGAATTAGAATATCTGTGTATCAATTTGATTATCATCTGAAAGAAAAGTCAGTTGTATAGACACAACTGTTTCTAGGAAAAATAATTATTAAAATTACCATATGGCACATAGTAAACCCAGATAAGTGACTCACAACACCACACGAAATCATTGAAAAGGGTTGTAGGAAAGTTCACATGTAGCACAGCAATTCACTAGTAACGTGGTTGCAGATAACTTCTTCAGTCGGTTCAAACAATACAAAGCCAAGTATCAGAACGCGGATGGTCAGAAGTATGCTTTTATATTTGATCACTTTCCTGTTAGAAGACATATCTACTACATAACTCAAAATTAGGAATTAATGTGGGTTTTAGCCTTTTGAACTGTTATATGCAATAGAATATTATTATTTCAAAAACCCAAGCTAAATGTGATCATCAAAAGAAATTTTTGGTTTGGTAAATAAAAAAGTTTAACTAATCCATCTATGTACCTACTCACATACGTATAAAAAATTTATAGAAAAGCAATATCTTCCATTTCACATTAAGATTATATTTGTATACCTATTCCAACTACAAGTTAAAACCAAATTATATATTTGCATGCATGTTGTAAATATTTGTAGCTTACATGAAAACTAGATCTATCAATAGTTCAAATAAAGCCTCAATGAATAAATGACAACAATCATGATAAAGTGCCAAGAAGCAAGCTACCAATTACATAGTTTGAGAAATCTATTCTTAAAGCCTCGCAGAAAAACTGAAACATTTTTCCTCCTTTGAACATTGTAAAAATAACATGAATTTGCATAAAAATGTGAGAAAAGAGTCAGGAAGCTACACAAAATACACCAAGTACATAAAAAGACGCAGAAATTCCACTGACTGCAGTGATGCTCCCTGATGGCAAGGGAGCCAGCTACTGCAGTCCCCTCATTGTTCTTGCCAAGCTAAGACATTTTTCAGCAAAACAGAAGAAAAGAAAAAAAGGCATATTTCAATTCTGGAAATTACCCAAGAGAAGCAAAATGCTAACCCCTCACTTTATTATGTCAATTTAAAACACAAAATAAACATACTAGCAGATTAATTAAGTGAAGAGCATATTAAAGATTCCTGCAGTTCATATTTCATTTTTTTTAAATGCTTAATACCCATGAGTATTTAAGGACATCTATCACATTGGTGCTTTAAGAACCCAAGGAGCACAGACAAGTAGGTTGGAGCTGTCTGCAAAAACCGTAATGCAGGTCAACTTAAAATATTCAAGTACCTATTACAATAAAAGCTCATACCAAGTATAACATTTTACAGAGAAAGCAGACACCACAAGAACAGCACAGTATTTCCAGTAACTAGAACATGAAGCATCTTTCCCCTCTCCCACATTAAATTATTTTATTCTAAGCAATGAAGGCTGCTGGTAATTAAGGGATAAAAAAAAATAAAAGAACATACCCAAACTGAAGATAATGCAGGCACTTCACTTTTTTTTTTTTAAATATTGGCACTACTATAAATGCAGACTCCCAAAAATGCTTTAATATTGAAAAAAAGCATAGAAGACAAACATTTCTATCTATTTATAACAAAATGCACTTAGTTACTTGAAACTATAGAAGTCCTGCTTTGAAAGTTGAGCTATTCTGCTTCTGCTATCTGGTTTAAAAGGGAAATAACCATGAATATACCTTCTAGACTTTGTGAAAATATGGACAAGTAAAATACAAGCATGAAGTAATCTCATCATTATAAGCAGAATCTGACTCAGCAGCTTGTGAAACTCCATAAATACCGTAACTGCATGTTAAAAATAATATATATCTTGTGTTATGTTGCTTTAACAGATATGTAGCTTAACAGTAAAACAACATATATACAAAACTACTTTTAATTTTGGTCATAGTTCTAAACAATACAGTAATTTTAAAATTAAAAATCTAAGTTTCTTGGTAGAACACAGTACAACTACATTTAAATGCAAAGGGTTTCAAGAATTTTTATGTATACAGTAGAAAATACACAATGGCTTGATTATGTTATCTGACATGTTATGGGGAAAAAAAAAAAGTACCTGCATTCATAGTGTTGAATCTAAATTTTAATGAAATACAGCTCCAATAGCATACTTCAAATTACTGGTACGAAGAAAACTGCTGTTTCCCTTACCTAGATATATTGTTGAAGCTGAGGAAGAGATGTTGGAGACGGGGCAAAGTATCCACATCTTTCTGGAAGGAAAGAGAGAGGCATAAATTCAGTAGCTGAAAGCAGCTTTTGAACCTCTCTACCTTGCCTGATGAAATGCCTTCATCTCTATACGCTATAGCCTTGCTGCAACATTGATTTCTGTTGATCGTGCAGCTCCATTTCTCCCTAGTGCAGACTGCAAGGGAGTGTTTCAGTGCAGATATCAGCTCTGCAGAACAAGCTGCATCACTTGCAAAGCAAATGATGTTAAAGAAAAGAGGATAAGACTGCTGCTGGTTTCTGAACAGGCTTTTGGGAAATAAGCCAAGGCACTGTCTCAGCATTTAAGCTGCAGTATAAACACACTGTAAAAAACCCCAAAAGTTTATTTTGTGACCATGCTGAAATAAGGTTTTTGAAGTGCAATTAGCACTACCAAACAGCAGCAACTATTCTGTCAGAGAATGATCTGAAGGACTCTGTCACCTTTACAATTAAAATTTATAAGGAACGAGTTTCCAGAATTAATATTTACAAATTTAATATATGCCATTAAAGACCTTTGCAGATAACCTCTAAATAGCAAATAGCTCAAATATTAGTAAGATCAAACTTCATTTATGAAATATAGATCTACAATGGCCAGACAGCACAGTCTGCAGTCATTCATATGCCATTCAGACTGCACACCTAACCCTCAGTTATGAGTCTGCACCTCCTTATCCTACTAAGGAGCATATTCCAACTTGCAACCATTGGACACAAACCTGTTACTTACAGCACAGGGAAGTGTCACAGGACTCACTACCTTGCTTTTAGCCACAAATTAAATCTACAGCCCTTCCTCCCTCTATCTGATTTGTGACATGCCTACATAGCATTCCAGAACCCAAAATAGTTCATTCTATCCAAGCAGGTGAACACAAGGCACCTCTAAACATATCATGCAGCTGCTATTAATGAAACACTCAATGTGAGCTAACAAGCACTGCTGAGAGTCGTAGCTTTGTATACAATAGCTCAGGTCTGTAGCTGCAAAACTGGTTCAGAGCTGTTCTGAGTCCTCCCAGATCAGACCATGGAAAGACTGAGTTCACAACTGTCTGTGGAATTACATCTGGATGACCCAGCTCTCCCTAAGGCTACTTAGCATTGATGCTTAAAGGGGTAGGTGCATGTGATACAGGTGGATACATACAGGAAGACAGGTATTATAGGGTTGTGCACAGTAATTCTTAAGCAGCAAGGATTGTAACTAATCAAAGAAGTTTTCATTGGAGAACACAAAGTCATTTCCCCTGAAGATAAAAAAAAAAAGGCTCCAGCTACTTCAGTTTTGATACTAAGTCATACAGGGCAGTGGACGTTCAGCACAGGAGTTCTACGAAAAGCTGGTGAACACCTTGACCAGTCTTTCTTTGAGTCTAAGATCAAGATGCAGATGACAAATTTGAATACCTCAAAGTAATTAAGCAGGTCCATCTTTCAAACAAAGAATCAGCTCATCTTCCTAACAGCAGATCCTAATTCACAACTGGATGGAAAGTAAATAGACAATCTATAATTCATGGTATGTATAGATTCGTGCTTTTAATGCCATATGAGACCCTTTGTTCATTTATTCTGTTTGTTTACTGTTCTTCAGAACAGCCAGACTTCTCAAAGACACTTGCAACCCTTTAAGATAGGATTCTGCTGCAAACCAAGCCTCAGGACTGCCTTTTTAAATCCTACAGCTTTGGATGAACTACAATTTGTTCTTACAAAAAGAACTACTTGTGACTCAAGGACTTCCAGTCTCCAATGAATGCCTCAAAGGCAAAAAATTGTCCCAAAATTGTTAATCTAAGGTCAGTCGGTTGTAAGAGATGATTACATATTTAATTGCTCATATAAGCTATAATCTAGTTTGATAACTTGAATTATTCAATATAGTTGACTCTAATGGGTATGGAGTTTAGTATGGAACCTCATTTTGTTTGACAAATGAGTATCATCTTCCCTACATAAGAATAATTCACTTACAGCAGGTGGGGAGGGGGAAGGTGAAAAATAAGGAAGGTTCACAAAAACTGTACTGAAAGTTATTTAAATTATATTGATTTTATTTCATGATTTTGGTAGAGCAAGCTTTTTTAAATTGAGTTTATATTCTTTCATTTAAAGGAATAATCAAGTTTACAAAGCTTTATTAATAATGTTAGTGTTGTCGTAGTAACTAACTAAAACACAGTCCAAAAACTAAACTAAAACACAGAAACCAAATTCTTCTAATGAACTTAGAGTGAAAATTTTGCAGTCAAGTGCTACATGATAACTATATAATGATTAAAATAACACCACCACCCCTACACACAGTCAACCATAAGAAAACCTAAACCTCATCTTAAAGGAAAGAAATATAAACCCCCTCCTTTCAACTACTCAAGTACTCCAGCAATAACGTAACAATATCATGGATATTTCATAAAATGATATAATTTGTTTCTATATTTCTGGATTTTCAGTAATATCATATTGCAGCAGATTCTGAATTTCAATACAGAAGTAGTGCAGCTTTCATTTTCTCCAGGGTGTTTCTCCTCAAAAAAATTAAAACAAATCTAAGAAAAGAAATGTATGTACATTGTTGTGCACAGAGAAAAAGAAAAACACCTATCACTAAAATAAGAATAAGATTTTATTTTAGGAATGAGACATATATTTTACTTTAGGCTTCAGACAGTATGACATGTCCAAGACTTGACTTCATATGATTTAAGAGTCCTTCCCTACAGGAAGGACAGTTAGTGTCATACTTGCCAAAATCACCATCCAATAAAAAACAAAGCAAAAAAACACCCACCCACCCACATTCCATTAGCATTTAACCAGGGTAAAGAAAAAAAAGCAAAACATTAGACAAAATAAAATGCTTCCTTGAAGAGAACATCATCTTCTGAAACACTATCTCTGGCCAGCAAAGACTAAAACATTGAGATACAGAAAGTCCAAGCCTGTAACTCACTAATTTAAATTTTATGCTGACTCTCCATTTGTGACAACAGGAAGCAAGGAGAAAGTATGAGCTACATCTGAGAGAAGTGGAAAAGGCCACAGCTACAAGCGAGGAGGATAATTCTAGGTAACATAACTGATGTAGAGGGAAGGCACACTAACAGAATCAGCAATAAGCAGAAATTTCTTATTTTTGAAGTGTAAAAACAATTAATATATGACAAGTAGCAGAAATTTGAGAAAGGAAAGGCTCAGCAGCAATAGAAGACCAAGAACTAAAGGAATTATGAGGGCCAGAAAAATATAGCTATTTAAGTAGACTTACTGTATTGTTTTCAACAGTGCTTGTTCAAATAATCTACTTGCCATACCTGAACTACAACTTAGAAACTGCAAAATGAAAAGCTTTATTTTTTAGAACAAAGACTTACAATGCTGGGTTAAAGCTTCAATTGGGAAAACTCTGTTTTTAGGATCAATATCTATTTTCTCTGCATTTGCCTCAGAAGTATTCATAAGGAGATGAAATTTAAGATGGTCTGACTGCTTAGCTGAGCTACAGAAATTGAGAGGGTTTGTTTCTAAGAAACAAACTTCTACAAAAGAAGAGTCTCTAAATTTGCATGTTAGAACCACAAAGCTTCTTCAGAATCTTACCCCCACCAGAGCACCATCATGAGCTATCAAAATTTGAATCCCTACAAGTGATCACAATTAAACAAAATAGCACCAAATATAAATTGCTGGTTTTTTCACCTTTATGTTGCAGTAAGTACTGCAGCAGAACATCATAAGCAACAGAGTAAGGGAAGACACAAGATTTCACAACTCTGAAATGCTTATATGGTTTAAGCAAGTTACAGTAACAGTTCATTTTGTTAAAAACAAATAAAAAAAAAGAGAAAAGAGAAAAAGACACGAGTTTTGTTCCTTACTATAGCAGAGACTTGATTGTGACGAAGGTTGAGCTCTGTGAGCGAATCCAGTCCATTAAGGTTTTCCACAGTGGTTAGTAGGTTTCTGGCAAGGTTTAACACTCTCAGTTCACTCAAATGACTGATGTTTTCTATTTTAGTAATCTATGAAAGAGGTATAACTATAAACATGCATACTGTGTTTTATATAGATATACAAGAGATATATATAGCACATACTTTTCTTTTAAAGTATACATGAACAATCAATAGCGTGCTTGTATATTTTTCTAAATCGTGACAATCATGTCAAATTGCTGAAAACAAGCCAGTCTGCTAGAGATTAAGTACTAATATTCACTTCACTAATATCTTTCTAGTCATACTGCAGTCAAATCAGTCAGCACTTCCTTCCTCACCATCAGAAATTAGGTTACTTCAACTGTGCTGTTCTGTAGCAGCAACCTCAACGACATCATGAAACTAAGACGACACCGGTGACATAATAGTATGCCAAAACGGGGAAATCTGGTGCACGGCTGATCCTTAATTTTTCTGCAAAGGCACTAAAACATCTATCCGAATCTCCTGGTACCTATGCTACAAGAACGTGCAGCATCATACCTCCCCACTACCACACACCTCTGCACCAGTTTCCCTTTATGCCTCTTAAAAAGCCAGTAGCAGCATTCACGGCACTATCTGCAGGAGCTCCACAAACAGACTTTCCAGCAGGTCGTAAGGACAGAAACCTGCTGTGAGCCAGGGGCAAGGAGCAGCCACAGCCCACTGGAGAAGAAAGCAATTATTCTGAAACTGAAACTTGTAAGAAAGGTTTACGAGCAGGTAATTGCTGGAATCAGTAAGACAAAAGTTAGGAAAGAAAGAAGCAGCATCCTCAGTTTGGATACACAGCACATTTGCTTGACAGTCCTGTCCCAGCACTTCTTCGACAACTCATGGCTTCCTACGATTAGAAAAACTGAGGGAACAAAGCAAGCGGCTAAACTACAGAAAACAGGGAGCTCCCCTGAGGTTTGTTTTTATACTTAATACCCTATTGTAAAGATTCAGGTGATACTGATCAAAAACTCACAAAAAAAAAAATCAAGACAGTAATAATAGTTACTGCCCCTTAATTTTATTTTTGGCTTCTAGAAATGCAACTGTGTTTTACAAAGGCATTAATTATTGCCCTGGGTTCATTTCCTGTTGTTTGTATTTCTCAGAGTGATCCACTCATGGATCTCTTAAGAACCTCTATCCAGATATTTATTTCTTATAGTGGTCTAGGATCTGTCTCCAGTATTTATGAAGACATTTACACAGGGCTTGCATACAGCAATGTATCATGGAGAAGCTGAAATATTCCCACTGCACGGGGGGATGTTCCTATCATACTCTTACTGAAACCCATGCTATACAGCAGAAAGAAGGCAGCAGGTTTTCCTGTGAAAAAGACCTCAGCCTTCCACAACGTGTGGCAGTGCATCCAAGGATACAGTGCACCAAGCTATTAAGTACAATGAATTCCCTTTCAATTAGAACGATCATCTGCCGGACCACGGCAAGCTCCCTTTGACACTGCGTACTCAGGCACACGATTCCTCCTCAAAGCTGCCAACAGCACTTAGATGCAGACAAGCAAGACAGTGACTGGTGTCACACACCTTCCCAGTGATAATGAACTTTCAGAGATGCTTTAGACCAGTACAAATCTGGCTATACCAATTTCCATAAAGTGTCTAGCAGCTCCTGGAATGGGAGAAGAGGTAAGGTAGCTGTTATTTAACAGTTTGAGAACACATAATGTTGTTGGTGATTCTCATATATATATACACACCCATATGTACACAAACATACATGTATACATCTGTAAGTCTACGACAAATGACTTGAACATGCTCCTATAAAAAGTATTTCAGCAATTTTTCCATTAAAAAGCATACAAAAATAGATATTTAATTTTGGTTTTCCTAACACCAAATCAACTTTTGATTCAACTGCTAATTAACCTATTATGCATCACCTATTTATGGGTATCATGAGTAGAAAATTGTTAGGATACAAAAATATTACAGCAAAAGGAATAGAAAATACCACCCTTTAGAACAACCTATTTAGACAGAAAGACTTGTAAAAGCAAAGCCAAGAGCAGATGGTTAGCATGAAGAGCAGACCTCTGCAGATGTCTGCTTAGCTAGAATTACAGCATGCCACAATACAGAATTATTATTCCTGGCATTTTACTGCTATTGCAAAGATACTGATTTCATCAGCAATGTATAGAGACATTGTTTATCATTTTGCTAAGTTTTAAGATTAATTCTACTGCCTTTTCTATGTTTTAATTATGCATGTACACATGAAGATACATCAGGTTTTAGTAGGTATAGACTACATACAAGCCATTATTGCCTCTTTTCAGAGGATTCAAATAATATTTATTTTACTAAAAAGAAATTACATCTATGACTATTTTCTATTAAATATAAATATAGGATTATTATTAGCTATTTTAAATTGTTTTTCTAAATACACAAGTCAAAGACTTGTAAATATTGAACAAAACCACTATTCTATTTTCTTGTTTGCTTGTATGTTTGACTACTTAGCTATGAAGTAGATTTATTTCAGAAAAGATGTTATGCACCACTCATCAATAAATAACTGCACAAGAGTTACATCTTTTAACACACATTTCTGATATTATTGAAAAGAAGTCCATGCCTGAAAAATCAGTTACATTTTTTGTCTTTTAGTTATATCCTTGAACTTTTGGCAAGGAAAATGATTCACAGAATTAAACAGAACACAAAAATAACTCTAATGACTTTCCAAAATTTAAAGCATTACAGAATAAATTTCATTCTAAATAAAGTTAGAATGAAATTCAAGTTCAACTTCACTTAACACGTTAGTTCACTGGAAGACAGAGTAAAGTCCATTTTAACCCTACGTAAAATAAAAAGGTTTCAAATAGATTTATATGGAAAAAATATAATTTATACTATTTACCTTGACAGCAAAGATCGAGCCAACAATCAGCATTCTCTCCGTAAACTATTCAGAGTGCTCAGAAGTGCACTATTTAAGAACTAAACGTGTAGTTCAAAATTAAACACAAGTTTAGTGCACTAAACATACCACACACACAGTCATGGGCAGGGTCTCTGAATGACGCAATATTATCTGTCTCTATCAACACGTTAATAACCATAGAAACAGAGTCTCTGCACAAAAATTTAATTAAATCCTATGAAGACACTGTATTTTCTTACAAATTTTTACCGAGCAGTATCAAAATCAAGAGCCTTACTAAATTCTATATGAAAGCAGGCAAAGGGCAGTAATATGACAAGGGAATTCACATTTTGTCTTTTTCGTAAAGCGCAGGTATTTAATGCAATATTTCACTAGGCATTACATTGATTTTTTTTTTTAACCTTCTTTTGGATATTTAATATATGAAGGGATTTTCTTTAAGTAGTAATAGATCTGAAAACTTGATTTGGAAAAAAAAAAAGAAATCATACAAGGTTTATCATTAAGCTTTGTGGGACACTATACTTCAATGTTTTAATGTACATCCCGTTCCCAGTACATTTCTCACTTGGGCGGAAGAAGTGTCAGAGTTCAGACTAAATCATATTACCCAAAAAACCCAGCATGCAAATAAATCAAAACATTTTCCCCAAAGTGAACAAAAATGAAAGTTTTCTCCTTCTGTTTTTCCTAACCTCCAACCTCATGGAAATATTCCAGTCTTAGAAGTTTCACAGTCTGCATTCCATCTATGAGATTGATTTACATCTCAAGAGAGAGGGAAGGACGGACTAAGACTAAAACAGGAATCTAGCTTTCCTCTTAACTGCTACTACTCCATTAACATTAACAAAAATAAATAATTTCTAGCTAGGCTCTACCACTATTTTTGAAAAAATAGATTAATAATATTCATTGACTGCGTCACTGATCACAACCCTTTGAGTCTAGCAGTCCAGCCAGTTTTCATTTCACCTCACTATCCACCTACCTAGTTCAAATCTAATTTAATTTAAGCTTGTCTATAAAGATGTAGCGAGAGACAGTGTCAAATCCCTTCCTAAATTCAAGATAAAATACATCCACTGCACTGCACTCATCTACTGTGCTCGTCACTTTGTTGTAAAACGTCATTTCCTACATAAATTCACGGTGACTACTCCTGGTTGCCTTCTTGCTGTAGTATGTTTGGAAATAGTTTCCCGGACTATTTGTTTCATCACGTTCCTAGGGATTGAGGTGAGGCTGCCTTGTTTCATAGCATCTGACATATACTCATTTCATAGAATCATAGAATCGTTAGGGCTGGAAGGGACCTCCAAAGGCCATCTAGTCCAACCCCCCTGCAAGGAACAGGGATATCTCCAACTAGATCAGGTTGCTCAGGGCCTCATCCAACCAGGCCTTGAACGTCTCCAGGGATGGAGCATCCACCACCTCTCTGGGCAACCTGTTCCAGTGTTCTACAACTCTCACGGTAAAAAATTTTTTCCATTTACATGTCAACCCTGTTATAGGCCAATTACAGCCTATGCAACAATTTGCTCCCTGAGCAGACACCATTCAGGCAAAACTTACATCCAAGTTCCAGCTTATCGATAGCTTTTTTGAAAGAATCTATTATTTCCTCCTGGAGAGTTTGGTATCGAAACCTAACTAACTAATTACTAACTTAACAACAACAGGTTTTGTAATAAAGCTACAAACATTTTCTTCAAAACCACAAAACCATCTTTTCAACATAATACAATCAAAAAATAAATGCAAAACCAAGTGCACAAGTTGAGCAGTGCCTTTAAGAGCAGGAATTTTCTATTATGGTCCAAGAATATCACATTAAGAAAATCCTGAAAATACTCCTGGCAACAAGATAAACAAGATACCACAAAGACAGCTGTCTTTTTCTAGAAAATAGCCTTAAAGTTTTGTGCTGGATCAAGGATTGCAAGGCCAATTTTTGCAAGGCCATGTAGTGATAGGACAAGGGGTAGTGGCTTTAAACTGAAAGAGGAGAGATTTTGATCCGACGGAAGAAATTCTTCCCTATGAGGGTGGTGAGGCACTGGAACAGGTTGCCTGGAGGAGTTATGGATGCCCCATCCCTGGCAGCTTTGAGGGCCAGGTTGGATAGGGCTTTGAGCAACCTGATCTAGGGGAAGGGGGGTTGGAACTAGATGATCTTTAAGGTTCCTTCCAACCCAATCCATTCTATGATTCTATGAAGAATATGTACTTCCCATGTACACAGCATTAAATAATTTCTCACATCTGTAATAAACACAACTTTGAATATAAAATGAAAACAAAAGTACCACAGAATATTCTGTAAGTATAAGAAATAGAGTATGACTGAAAAGATGGTAACATTAAGTAACCTATACAGTGTGTTTTACAGTTACTGGAAGTGAGAAACGGAAAATGATGTCAAGAGGAAATCTCATATTCACATATTCATCCTACACTGGCAGACAATGACACAGTTGTACACCACAAGTGAATTACATTTTTCCATAGCTATAAGAAAAGACAACCTAAGTGATGTACACAACAAAAGTGTCATTACACCTTTCACCTGAAGTAAGAACCATCCTAATAAAGGAAAATTGCTGTGCATCACTGCCCCCAAATCTTAAATCTGACTAGATTTTTTTTGTAGAATATTTGACTTCGCTGTAAGAATGGGGTGCAGGATAACACCACAAGCAGTCTAAGAAAACAAATGTATCAAGAGCCTATTAAGATTAAGTAAATCCTATTTTATACTTTTTTTTTTCCATTATGACTGACAAGCAGGATATTCTGTTTCTGCATTTTTTATTCCAATTGATCCGTACTGAATTAAAGAAAAAAAAGTCATATATATGTTAGAGACAGGACATTATATAAACAGAACAATGATCAGAATCCACTATTTTGAACTACATACCAAGACTTCATTTTTAATTCTACTGATCTGTTGTTTAAATTGCTATGTTATGGAATATTGGAACACGTATTTTGAAGTTCTCAAAACCAATTCTGTGGTTGAAGTCTGGTTTTGAGAAATTTATGAGGTGGAAAAAAGTATTGTTTAAGACAGACTAGAAGGCTGCCCTAAATAAAGAACCCACAAATCTGAAAGTGAAAAGACAAAGCCCCATTATTCATCATCTAAAAAGTAAACAAAAAACCAAACCCAGATTTCATAACAAGACAGTAGTATACTAAGCTAGTATCTCAAACCCAGCATTTCTTCCCTTCTTCATTTCTTCCCTTCTGCCTTCAAAAATAACTAGTAATATGTATGGCAGATTAGTGGTTTAAATCGAATTCCTCAAAGACAGGAAAAAAGAATGTTAACATGAAAAATTGAACATCTTTAAACTGGAAAGGAACAGAAAACTAATTTATTAGCAGAAGAGAAGTTGATAGTCTTTATTTGGTCTTTCTGTGAAAAATACACTAAAACTACCCAAAAAAAAGCAGTAAACAATTCATTCAATTTCCTAGCATTTTTGCCTTTCACGTGTGTAGTCATGATTAAAGCTTTCTGAAAAACAAAAGCACTTCTTATGCTCCAGAGATTTAACTCCTGATGCAGGATAATTTGCTACATTTTCTGGACCAAAGTAGGTCTATTATTACGAAGCTAATCCATCAGCAGTTAGTTGGGCACTATGCCCAAAACTCCTAATAAAGTTCTAATTAATGTTAAGGGAGTTGTACAGATACTTGGAAGAAAAAAAAAAAAAAAAGAATCAGATCTACTCCATGATCATTCGTTAAGAGTTGTGCATGACCCATGTTTCATTCCCGTTCGCGATTCCTCCGCTTATAGCTGTGCCAGTCAGCACACGTACATAGCACATGCCTTGTCCGCAAGTATTTTTATCAAAAACTTAAAAAAACCCAAACTTACAACACCGATAAGAGAAGGAGTATAACTACACAAACATTTCGCCATTTCCAAACATAGTTACTGTAAGACTCCAAGGGCAACGTCATTATCTGCTCCTAGACTGCCTCTACCACTGTAGAACATGCATACTATTAGACTAATGTTATTCTAAGAAGCCACAAACTTATTGTGTCACATACAATAACTCAATACAGTGCTAGCTTGTCTTTTTCTTTTTTTTTTTTCTTAAAAAAAAAGCATTTCCATTCCCCACTGTCAAGCAATTTGTGTAATAAAGAACACACACATGGAAATCAGTAAGACGTCAAAACTGTCAGAACAGGAATCCAGAAAATTCACACATTGGTCTTATATAGTCACAATAACCATATGTTGCTTTAAACAGCTCAATTACAGAACATTCTGTATCATACACATTTAAAATTTATTTTACAAAAGAATACTATATCTGACTTGCTCTTAATACTTCATGCTGCTTCTGACATTCCCATTAAACACGAACCTTCCTCTTACGTGTACTACAGCTAGAACTTTATGCACTGTCTGAAACAGAAATGACTGCTCAGTCTAAAACTGAGGACACTGAATAGACATTAAGAGACTTTAGTCCATTCAGAAGCACGAACCACTCCAGAGCTAGGACCCATTCTGCTTTCTCCTGTACAAATTTAAGTCTTCTACAGATACGTAAGGGATCTCATTTTGTAAGATCACCAATAGTAGAAACAACACAACAATCAATAGGACCTTAAATTCTTATATGACTTCTAAGTCTACTACAAACTACACAACTACGCTAGATTATTACTCTGTAGAAGCAAGTGCTATTACAGTCAGTTGACTCAGCGTTTTAATCACTGTAACTTTTCAAAAGTACAATGCTGAAACTACAAGAGACTTCATACCAAGATTCAAACCAACACCACACCACCTTCATTAATTTATTGATTCCTGTGACCTCAAGAGTTGCAAAATTTGCTACCAGTTCACTTTCAAAAAGCAACAGTTTGGTAAAAGAAACGAAAAACACATGATGTCTACACAAGAAACTTAAATAATCAAGTTGTTGTACCGTACCTGATTTCCATGAAGATCTAAAACATCAAGATTTATTAGGTTCTCCAAATTTGAGATCTTCTTTATTCTGAAAAGATTTCAATTATGATAAATTATTTTTCATATTAGATAAAAAGTATCTTTCATTTTCCAACTACAACAAAACTTAGCCATGTGTTCCTGCCTGCCAAGTGTAACAGAATAATAACAAAATTCTGAATCACATAAAAAAAAGTGATTGAACGAGTATGCCTTAGACTATCACCTTCTCTTCTGACTGACAATAATGCAATAGCAGCAGCAGCATGTACACATCTCTTCTAGGAAGACAAAAAGGGAAGGAATTTTTGCACTACTAGAAAACAGTCAACAACCAACCTGTCTAGATATGTAAATAATAAAAACCCATTATTATTGACAAACAGCTAACTCCAAACCAGCTTGAAGAAAGACTACAGTGACACAGGCTTTTGAGATTTTGTTGGAAGAACAGAGAATAAAAAAAAACACCCTGTAAGCCACAGGCCCTTTCTAGACAACATTATAGATCTCCAGATTTGGCAGCACTTCTCCTCTCCCTGTACAACCTCACTGTCTTAAAACTTTTCTTTCCTGTCCTATTTTCTCACATTCTAAACACAGGTTATTATATATTCAGTATCATCATCTACTAGCTGATATTAAACATCATGTGTATGATGCATTTGCTTCAAGAATGATCAAAGATCATATATAGATGAAGCTAAAAAGTTGCTAGGAACTGTGTCTGACTTGTACTCATAAACGAGTACGTCTCGTTCTAACTACTTCCAGACTACACTTCCACATAAACAATCTATACAGTATTCAATGTAGTTACGATTTGGAAAATAATTCCTTCAAGTGCCTTAAAACTATTGTTCCCATGCTCTAATGTTTTGCTATAAACAAAATTAATTTATACAAGTGAGATTTTTAATATAAAAGCTATAAGCTCTAGTAACATACTGCACTAGGGAAAGTTGTCAGTTTTGAATACAGGCTGAATTAGGAGATAAATTCCTTGTAATCTGCACATAACTGAAGTTTGTTTACCAGTTCTTCCTTTACTAAATATAAAGAAAATAAGGAAACCGAACAAAATCAGAGCACAACCCTTAGATGCGTAAGCAATTCCACAGATACTTCTGTTAAATTATTGGAATTGAAGGCTACAGGATGTGAACTGTATTTTTAGAAACACAACTAGTTGTATCTCCCAACAGAATAGAATCAATAAGTAAGCAACAAAATCCATGATTCATCTGTCTGACTTTTTTCCCAGCTAAATACATCAAGCAGAAACACTTTTCATAGGTTATAAAGAATCAATGAGTACTTTATGTGATGTGGAAAGAGGCTCCACCTGTCACAAAAGTTTAAGAATAAGTATTTATTAGTCAATCAGAACAAAAGATCAGATGGAAACACGTAAAATACTTCAGAACCATTGCTAAAATTTACATAAGAAAGGAAATGTCTGAAGAACATTAGGAGCAAAAACCGTGTGCTTCCTCAGTGGGATACCTAACACTTAGGGTTAGGGATCAGCTCACTGGTCTCACAGCCAACATGACAATCTGAAAATTCTTTACATAACAGATACAATAACAGATCACAGTTGTTACACCACAAAGAAGTAGGGTGCTCTAAGTTAGTTTTATTATTTTTACCTGTTCTTTCCCAACAAAAGGACTCTTAGGGATCTCAGAGTTGAAAGACCACTTATTTCCTCTATCTGATTATCGTATAAATCTAAGAAAACCAGATGTTGCAGATTAGAAATATTTTGGATCCGGGTTATAAAGTTATGTTGGAAATTCAAAAGGCGAAGATGATCTTCCCCATCGATAATTGGACATACTGTCAGTTTTTGCCTGGAAGGAAAAAAGAAAACAAACCAAAAAAGCACAAGTAAGTAACAAATTGGTAATCCACCTTCTACTCACCCTCTCTGACCGAACCTAGGAAAGTATATTAACCTAAGGTAATATTATGGTAACTAGGTTTGCTAATGAAATTCTGTAAATAAAGCAGTAACGCCTTACTATAAAAAAAAAAATCGCTTGAAAATACAGCAGAAGTGCTTCCAAAGTTCTCTGACAGCCCATCCTCTTTATCGGAAATTTGCTTGTTACATGAAAACTACACGGAAATTTTGTGTTGTGACCACATTAAAATTTCAGTATTAAAATATTCAGTATAAAATTTTAGGTACAGCATGCCTCTTTTTTCATCAGATACCACACAAGCAGCCTGTTTAGAACAGGATTCGAAGTGTTCTATGTCTGTGGAATTTTTCTTTGGTTTATAGAACTTTACATTTAAAATATAAATACATGAAATAATAAGCGTTAATGTGAAAAGTAAAAGATATAGGAAATCATGCTGAAAACGGTTATTCTAATTTTAGGATTATTCCAGAAGGAGCCCTACTGACCTGACAAGACTTTCTGGGCTACATGAACATTGCCCCTGACAGAAAAAAAACCCACCAAAACAACACCACACACCACTACCCCCCAACTAATCTACAATTACATGTCTTTCAGATAAAACTTTTTATTTGTGGTCTGGCTGAGAAAAAAAAAAAAAAACAAAACCACACTCTACAGTTCATGCATCAGATTAGAACTAATGGAGGCATAGCCTCTGACTCTACAGATGACTTGCATGACCTTGCTTTTGACTCTTAAGGTACGTCCTTAGATTACAATGAAAAGCTCTAACTGCCCTAGATGACTGCTGTATGGATATATTCATCACAGGGACACTCATAGAGAATTTCTTTATGAGACATAGTTCTCAAAAACACACACACAAATGAAACCAAACCCAGCGCTCATACCATTGACCACAGGTATTACCGGGTTACTCATCACTTTAGACCACCAGACACAAGAGTCACAAGCTACAGTGTGTGTGCTCCATAATATTCTCACCTTTCCAGGGTAAGTCTATCAGAGTTCAGTATTTTCTCTTCAGCAGTACGTTGTAATACAGGAAATGTTATTGATGAACTGCTCCCAAAATTTGTGTTATCTATCAGAAAAGCATACAGAGAATATATGAACTACTTCTTCGTAAAATAATTTCATTAACTACAGATAATAAAAGCAGAAATTTCTTTCTTATTAAGAGTTACACAGTACATCAAAGTGCTTTTTGCCTCTATTCAGTACTTTGAGTTACCAGTTTTCTTTCCTACCATTTTTTGTTTACGGCTATTTCCCTCCACATCCTCTTTCCAAAGTACGTCCATTTGTTTCATTTCCAATAGATTTTTATCAAATATTTGCTGTAAGCAGATATTTTGTAGATGCCTTTGTTTTGATTAGAATTACCCAATGATGTTTTAAGGTAAGGTTGTATAATTGTTTCACAATTTCAGTAGCTGAACTTAAAGAAGATATTACTAATTCAAGACAAATTTAAAGACACAGATCGAGTAGATGTAGACAGAACCTGAAACTAAAGCATCAAAACATTGAAACAGTACCACTGATCCACAAACGAACACAAAGCCTTTTAAAGATAACTGCATGCTACACCTAGTAATCATTGGTATTATATTTCACTCCATTATCAAGAAACAGGCAGCCCTTTAAAACATATTTACGAACCTACCCATCTTCACCCCTTTTGTTAACATAAGGGGGAAAAAGGAGAATGACTAAAAACATCCGCAAAATAAATCAACTTGTTCTGCGAGCTTTGGCTTAGTTGGAAAGTGATCCACTGAAAAATATTGGTCAAAAATAGATCATCATCCTTGCAGGGGGGTTGGACTAGATGACCTTTGAAGGTCCCTTCCAGCCCTAACCATTCTATGATTCTATGATCATGCATGCATACTACCACAAGGACATAGGTTCAACTTCCACGTGTTTGCCGCTTTTTTCCTCTTCCTTCAAATAAATCAACTACGGTAACAGGAAAAACATTAATTCTTCAATAAAGATAGATAACTGCTTTACTACTATATGAAGCGAGCTCATTGTTGTCTGAAATATGCCATTAGAAGAGATACCTACACAAGTAAAAGATTTAGAATCTTTTCAGTGCTACTCCCTAACATTCTGTCACTACCTGCTCTAACAAATCAGTGTAACAACCAACATTCTCTATGTATCCTTCAAAGTGAAACAAAAATGCAAAGAAAAAAAATGATCATTGTGACCAAAAATAATCAATTAACATTGTTGCAAAAGACTTGAACTAGCTGCCTCTCAGGTTTTTAGGCCAGTAAAGATAAGACCAGAGACATTTTTAAAAATAAGTCTGAAACATGACCTGATGGCAGTACAGTGACTTTTTTCTCCCAATGTCATCTTCCTAAAGGTACGTGTGAAAGATCCCTGTTACTGCCCTTTTGATAAAAACAGGTTTATAAAAAGCGTATATTTAAATGTCTCTATTATATTTTGGAAAATATTTCTAGTGCTTTCCTGACAATGATCTATTAACCTCTCTTAATAGCCCAAGGGAATAGTAAGCAAAATTTGCTATTCAGTCATACATTCTGATAGCCAGAAGCAGCACATCTTACAGGTCATAACTCTTCAATAAGACATCTGTTTGGTTTTTTTTTTTTTTTTAAAAAAAAAAAAAAAGAGACTAACAAGAGAAGTTTTCACAATTACCTGAAGCATGTAAACTAATACTGTGGCTGCTTGGTCGGGATCTGGATTTTGTAGGCGTGTGAACAGAAGACTCGCCAAATCCTGGTAAAGAACCTGTATTCTGCTTCCACTCCAAACCAGAAAGGTCTGTCAGACTGGATGGTACTGGAAGATATATCTGCTTATTACGCACCAAAGGACTTAATATTCTTTGGTCTCCTGTGTGGGGAACAAAACCAAATGGCAGACTTCAGTTTACTCCATAATAATTTACATACTATCCCTAAAAATCAACCCATTCTGAACAACTGTTGGTCTTTATTTTCTACCAGAATGCATAAAGAATTGCCGTAATAATTAAACTGATCTGCTATCCTAACCAATCACTGTTGTCATATGACAGCCAAGCAGCAGCAGGGTGGCAAGAAGTGCTGGGTTTCAAGGCTGTTCCAGGCTTCATCACAGTTAGCAGTGATATCACCAAATATCTTGCTTTTCAAAGCCAAAAGCACACAAGCACAACTGGCAAACTCTCTCTTCCTGTCAGGGTTCTGAATTAGAAACTAATTTTGTCTAAATAAGTTAAAATGTTAAACATCCAACAAAATGTTACAGTAAAGAATTGTGTGGCTTCTGAGGAAATGGATAGTAAGGCACTTGTTAGATTGTGGCTTTGTAGGTAGAATCTTCCACGGACAGAACGAGGGGCAAAAAGCAATGAAAAAAGTCATCTGTACTAGGCAGTAGAAGGATAGTGGGTTCAGGACATGATGGAGCAGTACTGATATGGAATTACTGTAGCCAGTTACATATTCTAATCATAATATAGTCTTTCTTTACTGTTCAGTTGTTAAAAAGAGATACAAAACACAAACAAACCAAACGCTATTGAAGATCACCTTGCCTTCCTGAATAGTTTTTTTCCAGATCATGCTGCAGAAGTCTACTGTGGAAAGATGACTGTTCTTTATTTATCCTGAATTCAAACTGTAACACAATATTTAAGACAAACGTTTAAGTTTTCAAATGCAAATGATGTCTTTACACAAACACACACAACCTTAGAACAACTACAGCTCTCAGGAAACTCTGAAAATGCTTTAAAAAAATTACATAATTACTCCAATAAAAAGAATATTCATTCTATTAAGATACTATGACTGAAAAGTTTCAGTGTTGGAAACTAAAACTAAAATATGGAAGTTACCATCACATTCATCTGCAGTTGACTAAATAAAAAAAAAACCCCACCCTATAACAAGTACTGCAATTACAGGAGGGAGAGAGGTACAGATAAAAACATAGGATGTCATATATATATAAAGTTTATGCCAGGCTACAGTACATTCCCATGTTTTCATTTTATGTATCTTCAATAGGATGAAATAAATCACCAAAAGACTATCAGACACATGAGATATTACATTATCTTATATTATTAATTATATTAAAAGACAATATTTTTATTATTGAAAAGACAATTCCTATCTGAAAGCATACAAATTTGGATGTACCCTACAATTGCATTAATTAATATAACTATTAAAGGTAATAATTACCGATTTGCTTTTATCTGTTATCGATGAGGTCTGGATAACCAGCTGAAGACCACAATTATTAACCTGCAAGTTGGAAGGAAAAGAAATGTAGTATTACATTTTTCAAAAATGGATATCGATACAAAGAGTTGAATGCAAGTTCTTTTTTTTTAAAAAAAAAATAAAGATATTTTCAACTGCAAAATCTGCCAAGAAAGGAACTATTTTGCAAAACTATTACAAAGAACGCGTCACAGCACTGAGTAACACTGAATAAATTTTAGGTTAAAAAAAACCCACAGTTTGTAGTTTTAAAAATACACTGAAAGTGCGACTTTCATGAGGATAACATCCTCACTATGAGAAAATTTACATTTGAATATGAGAATTTATTTACTTTTAAAGGGCAAACGTCTTTTTATTGGATTTCTACGAGAAAACGCAGCACGTCCCCGCCAAATAACCGAAGCGTGTAACAGAAACATTCACCCGGACGGGTTACGCACCCACTGCCCAGCACACGAGGGGCACACGGACAAGGTCAGCCTCCTCACGGCACAGACC